CACGACCACCAGCACGACCACCAGCCCAGCACGACCACCAGCACGACCACCAGCACGACCAGCCAGCAGCACGACCACCATCTCGACCACCAGCACTTCCCAGCACGACCACCAGCACAAGTACCAGCACGACCACCAGCACGACTGCCAGCACCTCCACCAGAACGGCCAGCAGCACGACCACCAGCACGTCCACCAACCACGACCACCAGCACGGCCGCCAGCACAACCACCAGCACGACCGCATTATGGGCACACGGTCGGTCGAAATAAAGCAGTGCGAGATCACACCGGTAGGTATGATGATAATTTTCGCCTCTCGGGGCCTTCTTGGGAGGCCTCTTGGAGGCCCCTTGGGCCTCTTGGAGACATTTGAGCGTGCTGGGACGATCTTTCGGCGACACGAGGCCCTCTTGGGCCGTCCTGCGGGCTTCTTGGGGCACTCTTGGCCCGCGCGCTGGGGTCGGATTCCAGATCCCCGTCGGACGGTTCAGATCCCAAGCGGTGAGAAAGCCGCAACGGTCCAAATCCCAACCGCTGGACAATATTATAACATATTACATTGGCGCGACCCCGCGTAGAGGCTGGCGCGTCCTATGTTAGTTGAGCTTAGCGGTAGTACCTCAAGTCATTCAGCCTATTTCTCGTTGCTACTTAGCTGGGTTTACTAAGTTACTTACTAAGTTACTTAGGGTGGCATATGAAAGTTCCTTAGGGGATACTTATAACTGCCACTAACTCTTTCAGAGGAGGAGGGCGAGGAGAAGGAGGAGGAGGAGGAGGAGGTGCGGGCAGAAAGAGGGGAGGAGGAGAAGGAAGGGGACCATGCAGAAAAACGTGCGAGGGAAGCTGTCATATACCCCAAGCGGGGGAGGATGGAGAAGGAATCGTCGTCGTCGGAAGGGCGAGGACGAGGGGGGCGAGCAAGGAGGAGAAGGAGGACGAGGAGGACAATGAGGAGAAGCAGGAAAAGGAGGGGAAGAGGAGGAGGAGGAGGAGGAGAAGAAGAAGAAGAAGGAGGAGGGCAAGGACCAGCAGAATAGCCAGAAGCATCTTGAATGTCTCTCGGATGTCTGTTGGAAGCCTTTTGGATGCCTCTTCGGGCGTCCTGGGGTCTCTTGGCAGTCAAGGGGGGCTCTTGGGCGTCTTGGGTGCTTCGGGGGGGGGCCTCGACCCCCTCCGAGGTCCGCCCCGTGCTGTCGACGAGGGCGAGGACGAGGACGAGGACGACGAGGACGGGGGAGACCCGAGTGGGGGCCCCGAGGGGGGGCCCGCCCCCCCCCCCCCGAGGTCCGCCCCGTGCCGTCGACGAGGACGAGGACGAGCACGAGGACGACGAGGACGGGGGAGGCCCGAGGGGGGCCCGCGAGGGGGGCCCCGACACATCCCGAGGTCCGCCACGTGCCGTCGCCGTCGACGACGAGACGAGACGAGGACGACGAGGACGGGGGAGGCCCAGAGGGGGCCCCGAGGGGTGCCCCGAGCCCCCCCCCCCTCCCCCCGAGGTCCGCCCCGTGCCGCCGACGAGGGCGAGGACGAGGGGCCCCGACCCTCCGAGGTCCGCCCCGTGCCGTCGACCCCGAGAGGGGGCCCCCCAGGGGGCCCCCCAAGAGGCCCCAAGAGGCCCCCAAGAGGCCCCCAAGAGGCCCCCAAGAGGCCCCCAAGAGGCCCCAAGAGGCTCCAAGAGGCCCCCAAGAGGCCCCACGAGGAGCCCGAACGACTCACACCAGGACGAGGGGCCCGAACGACTCACACCACGAAGAGGCCGAACGACTCACACCACAAGGAGGGGCCCGAACGACTCACACCAGGGGGTGGGACTTACCATGCATAAGTACTGCAAGTGCCGCAGGTACGCAGCACCCCGCAATTGCGGATGAGAGCAACGGGGCGGGCGCGGGCGACGCGGGCGTCGAGCCGGCGGACCTCGTGGCCTTCGCCTTCCTTGTCGATGGCGCCTTCCTCCTCCTCCTGCTCCTCATCCTCCTCCTCCTGCTCCTCCTCCTCCTCCTCCTCCTCGTCCGCGTCCGCGTCCTCGTCCTCATCGTTTTCGTCGTCGTCGTCGTCCGCCTCCTCCTCCACCTTCTCCTCCACCTCCTCCACCTCCTCCTCTTCTTCCTTTTCCTCCTCCTGCTCCTCCTCCTCCCCCTCCTCCTCCTCCTGCTCCTCCTCCTGCTCCTCCTCCTCCTCCCTCCTCCTCCTCCTCCTCCTCCCTCCTCCTCCTCCTCCTCCCCCATCCCGATCCTTTCCCCCCCTCCTTTCTATCGTCGTCGTCGTCATCGTCCTCCTCCTCCTCCCCCTCCTCCTCCCTCCTTTCTCGTCGTCCCCCTCCGTCGTCCCCCCCTCCTTTTCCTCCTCGCCCTCGTCGTCGGCCTCCTCTTCGTCCTCGTACTCGTCGTCGTCGTCGTCGTCGTCGTCGTCGTCGTCGTCGTCGTCGTCCCAAACCAATGCGAGCAAGCCCGCCGCAGGCGCCGATTTGCGTGCTCTGACAAGTTCAGCGCGGGGGGGATCGCTGGTGGGCCACCCGGAACGAATGCTAAAACAGTTCGCCGCAGGCGCCGAATTTTTGGCTTGTTCAGTGAACGTAGTTTGGGTCGCGGTTGGGTCGCGGAATCCCCACCTCCACCTCCACTTGGAAGGAATTCAAAAACAGCCCGCCGCGGGCGCCGAACAGTTTGACTTGTACACTGAACGCGGTTTGGGTCGCAGGTTCTCCACCTGGAACGAATCCAAAAGAAACCCGCCGCAGGCGCCGAAGTTTTGGTTTGTTCAGTGAACGTAGTTTGGGTCGCGGGTGGGTCGTGGGCTCTCCACCTCCACCTGGAAGGAATTCTTTACGCTTCGCGTATCCCCGCCAGCCCATCTCACAGCAGCAACTCTTGCGAAGCATGCCGGCAGTCGTGTTTTTTTTCAGGCGTGTGTCCACTTGGGCCCGCATATCTCCCCTGTTCCTCCTTCCTCCCGCCTCCTTGTACATCCTCCTTGTGGGGGGAGCGGGAGAAGGACGAGGCGGAGGAGGAGGGAGAGAAAGCGCTCCTCGTGATTTGAGTCGTTTGGGGTTTCTCGTCCTGGTGTGAGTCGTTCGGGCCCTTCTTCCTGGTGTGAGTCGTTCGGGCTCTTCGTGGTGTGAGTCGTTCGGGCTCTTCGTCCTGGTGTGAGTCGTTCGGGCTTCTCGTGGTGTGAGTTGTTCGGGCCCCTCATCCTGGTGTGAGTCGTTCGGGCCCCTCCTCCTGGTGTGACTCGTTCGGGCTCCTCGTGGTGTGAGTCGTTCGGGGCCCGCGTCGTGGTGTGAGTCGTTCGGGCTCCTCGTGGTGTGAGTCGTTCGGGCGCCTCGTCCTGGTGTGAGTCGTTCGGGCCCCTCCTTGTGGTGTGAGTCGTTCGGGCTCTTCGTGGTGTGAGTCGTTCGGGCCCCTCGTCCTGGTGTGAGTCGTTCGGGCTCCTCGTGGGGCCTCTTGGGGGCCTCTTGGAGCCTCTTGGGGCCTCTTGGGGGCCTCTTGGGGGCCTCTTGGGGGCCTCTTGGGGGCCTCTTGGGGCCTCTTGGGGCCTCTTGCGGGCCGCTTGGGGGCCTCTTGGGGGCCTCTTGGGGCCGCTTGGGGGCCTCTGGGGGGCCTCTTGGAGGCCTCTTGGGAGCTTCCTGGGGGCTTTTTGGGCCCATCTTGGGGCCTCTTGCGACCTCCTTTGAAGCGCAAATGAGAGCCGCCCCCTGAGAAGGACAAAATGAGCCCAAAACCTTCGTAAATTCAATGATTTTGCTATGAAAGAAGATGAGCGCTGCCCCCTCAAAAGGCCAAAATGGGGCCAACACCCTAGTAAAATCAATGTTTTTGGCTTCGAAGAAGAGGAGAGGGGCCTATCTCCCTCCCCCCGTCGGGGCCAGAATCCTCGTGAGGGTCGTCGTTTTTTGGCCCTCCCAGGAGTCGAAATTGACCCCCCTGACGACCCGCGGGGGTCCCTCTCCAGGCCCAGGGGGAGGGGGTAGGGGGAGGGGTAAACCCCTCCCCGAAGGGGAAGAAGGGGGGTTGAGGACAGAGCGGGCTCTCTAAACCACTCACGCCCAAAGGGCTGGTGGGATTCAAGAACAGCCCGCGGCAGGCGCCGACAATTTGATTTGTACACTGAACGCGGTTCGGGTCGCGGGTGGGTCGCAGGTTCTCCACCGGAAAGAACGTACAAGAAGTCCGCCGCAGGCGCCAAAAAATTTGCGTGGGTCGCGGGGTGGGTCGCGGGTGTGTCGCGGGTGGGTCGCGGTGGGTCGCCGGTGGGTCGCGGGCGCGCTTTGGGTCGCGGGTATGTCGCAAAATTTCCACCTGCAACGACTGCAAGAGAAACCCGCCGCAGGCGCCGAAAATTTTGGGTGGGTCGCGGGGTGGGTCGCGGGTGTGTCGCGGGTGGGTCGCGGTGGGTCGCCGGTGGTTCGCGGGCGCGTCGCAGATTTTCCACCTGCAACGAATGCAAAAGAAACCCGCCGCAGGCGCCGAAAATTTTGGGTGGGTCGCGGGGTGGGTCGCGGGTGGGTCGCGGGGTGGGTCGCGGTCGGTCGCGGGTAAATCGCGGGTGGGTCGCGGGTGGGTCGCGGGGTGGGTCGCGGGTGGGTCGCGGGTGGGTCGCCGGTGGGTCGCGGGTGGGTCGCCGGGGGGGTCTCGGGGTGGGTCGCGGGCGGGTCGCGGGGCGGGTCGCGGGGTGGGTCGCGGGTGGGTCGCGGGTGGGTCGCGGGTGAGTCGCGGGGTGGGTCGCGGGTGGGTCTCGGGGTGGGGCGCGGGTGGGTCACGGGTGGGTTGCGGGGTGGATCGCGGGTGGGTCGGGGGGCGGGTCGCCGGTGGGACGACGACATTCACAAACAACAGCAACAACAACAACAAGAATTCTAAGACTGTTCGCCCTCATATGCTCGAATGTCCAATAACGCGTGTTTTCCAAACCCTCGATACCCGCCCTTTTCGTTTTCGACCGAGCCCTTTTTGGGGGGTATGCCTTTCTTCCCTGCAGGCTGGGCCCCGGCAAGCGGCGGGGCGGCCGCGGACCGTCTCGGCGGTGCGGCCGCGGACCGTCGACCCGACCCCAAGAGGGACGGACAGGGGACCGACCACGACGACGACGACGACGACGACGACGACGACGACGACGACGACGACGACGCCGAAGACGACGGCGACGACGACGACGACGGCGACGACGAGCGAAAGCGAGAGCGAGAGAGAACGACAGCAAGGCCACGAAGGGCACGAAGTAGGCCACGAAGGGCGACAGCGGGGACACGAAGGGAATGCGTATGGGGCCACGAAAAGCGCGAACGAGCGGGGGCCACGAAGTGCAGATAATGCGGGGCCACCGAAAGCAATTATAGGGCCACTGGGCAGTGATGGGGGGGGGACACGAGTGGCGACAGCGGGGCCACGAAGGGCATGCACATGAGGCCACAACGGGCGCGACTCCTGGGTGCCTGGGTGTCGGGAGCGCGGCGTTTGGGCAAATTGCATGAAATTCCAACGCAAAGCCATTCTTCAGTAAGTTGCAAGCAAGTGTCCAGCGAGAGCGCGACTCCAGAGCGCCGGGAGAGCGATTCCTGAATACATTGTAAGGAAGTCCCAAGCGAGAGCGCGCTTCCTGAATAACATGCGAGGAAGTCTCGGGCGGGAGCGGGGGTTTCGGCTAAATTGTAAGGAGGTCTCAGGCGGGAGCCGTTGTTGGTGTAACCCGGGGGCCAGGGGCCGAGTTTGAGCATCAAGATTTTCCCTATCAAAAAACAGGGTGCGAACGTCGAGGGGCACACTTTGATTTAGAAGAAACCGTATGCACCGGTGGGGGGGATCAACAATAACTATTCTTCAGAAGTGAGAATTCAACAACGACAACAACAAGAATCAGCATCGCGGAATTCCACCTCAGCCACGCACCCAGGGACAGTGAATGACCGGTCGGTTCAGCCCCCATCGCTCTGATAGCACCATGTTTTTTTTGTTTGCTATAGTGTTGTTATCCGGATGTCATCGTGTGTTCTCTTGTGAGTTCGAATCCCAATATAACAAAACATAGCAGCATGATACCGTGCTATATGTAAACGTATCATGGTACATTTAACTATAGCACCACAAGAAACACGTTATGCTTATATGCAACATGCTTTATTTAAATGTATCATGGCTTCGTGTTGATATATGTTTGGTTTCTTGGGAGTTGAAATCACCAGATAACAGAATACACCATCAAGGTAACAATGTCATAACATGAATAAGACATTGTGGTTCATTCGCGGTACTCGTAGTACGTATGTGTGGTAAGTCCATATGTGGTAAGTCCCACAAGCCCTCTGGGCGTATGTGGTTTGGAGCGTTTCCCCCTTTCCACCCTTCCGCCCCGACCCCTCGGGCCCCCACTCGGGGCCCCCTCTCGGGGCCCCCCTCGGGGCCCCCCTCGCCCCCCCCCCCCCGTCCTCGTCATCCTCGTCCTCGTCCTCGTCGTCGTCGGCGGCACGGGGCGGACCTCGGGGGGAGGGGGGGGGGCTCGGAGCACCCCTCGGGGCCCCCCTCGGGCCTCCCCCGTCCTCGTTGTCCTCGTCCTCGTCCTCGTCGTCGTCGAGGGCACGCGGCGGACCTCTGGGGGGGTCGGTGCCCCTCGTCCTCGTCCTCGTCCTCGTCCTCGTCAGCGGCACGGGGCGGACCTCGGGGGTTGTCGGGGCCCCCCTCGGGGGCCCCCCGTCCTCGTCGTCCTCGTCCTCGTCCTCGTCGACGGCACGTGGCGGACCTCGCGGGGAGGGGTCGGGGGCCCTCGTCCTCGTCCTTGTCCTCGTCGACTGCACGGCGCGGACTTCGGGGGGGTCGGGGTCCCCCTCGGGGCCCCCACGTCCTCGTCGTCCTCGTCCTCGTCCTCGTCCTCGTCCTCGTCGACGGCACGCGGCGGACCTCGGGGGGGGGGTCGGGCCCCCCTTCGGGGCCCCCCAATGGCCTCCCCCGTCCTCGTCATCGTCGTCCTCGTCGTCGTCGTCGTCGTCGTCGTCGTCGACGGCACGCGGCGGACCTCGGGGGGGTTCGGGGCCCCCGTCGTGGCCTCCCTCGGGCCTCTCCCGTCCTCGTCGTCCTCGTCCTCGTCCTCGTCGACGGCACGGGGCGGACCTCGGGGGGGGGTCGAGGCCCCGCCGAAGCACCAAAGACGCCCAAGAGCCCCCCCTTGACCGCCAAGAGACCCCAATACGCCCGAAGAGGCCTCCAAAAGGCTTCCAAGAGACATCCGAGAGGTATTCAAGATGCTTCTGGCTATTCTGCTGGTCCTCGTCCTTCTCCTCCTCCTCCTCTTCCCCCTCCTCCTCCTTCTCCTCTTTCCCCTCCTTCTCCTCCTTTATCTCATTATCCCCCTTCTCCTCCTTCTCCTTGCTCGCCCTCCTCGTCCTCGCCCTTCCGACGACGACGATTCCTCCTCCATCCTTCCCCTCGGGGTATATGACAGCTTCCCCCGCACCTTGTTATTCTGCATGCTCCCCCGCTTCCCTGACGACCTCAACTCCTCTGGACATCGTTTCTGGATGGGCTGGTGGAGATACTTTTTTAGTCAGCGGCCGCAGGCGAGCGCGCCAGCGGCGAGTCCAGTCAGAGCGGGGCGCGCAGAGACGACTTAACCTAAAGCGGTGGGCCGAAGCCTCACGCGGCACCTCAGCGGCCAGGCCGGCGAGTGGGAAGAGGCTGACAGCAACTGCTGAAGAGCTGCACTGCCAGGGTGCAAGCATGCAACGCGCTGCAATAGGGGGCTGGCTGCCAGTGTGGACGGCGGCCAGGGTCTGCGAGCTGCGAGGAAATTAGGTGCAGGAGCGTAGGCACCCATGGGACTGCGGAAGTACCAGGGTGGCCGAAGCCAAGAGAAGCGACTGCCAACAACAGCCGAATTGTGCGCCCAGTGGGGGCGTGAGCATCAGCAGGCTGCGGAGTACCAGGGTTGCCGAGGCCAGAAGGTCCAACAGCAGCGGATCGCAAGAAGGCGAGTGACTGGTGGGGAGTCGCGAAGCGTCAACAATTAGGTCGGGGAACCGATTCCAGACGCGCGAGTCGCGGAGGGGGCTGAGTGGAGCATAGGCTAATTCTGCAGACGTGCGAGTAAGTAGGGCTAATTTCCTTGTTATTAACAACAGCTAATTACTTATTGTTACTTCATAAGTAACTTAGCCCGCTGCCCAAAACGAAGACACATACTTATACATAGCACAAGTGTAGTTACAACACCAAACATTCACTTACATCACTTACATAATTATTACACAACTTGCGCCAGCTACACCAGAACAGGATAAACTTCAGCCCAGCCACAACTAGTCCTCAAGTAGGACAAGAAGCTCCGACCTCTAAACAACTAGCGGAAAGCTTCTTATGATATCGGCCCAGTGCTTGACATTGTGTGGCACTGATTGGCATTGCTTGGCATGAGATTGCCTGGCGTTGCTTGGCATTGCTTGCCATGAGGCACTTGGGACACCAGGGGAAACCAAGGAACCCAGGGAACCCAGGAGAACCTGGGGAAACTGGGGAAATTGAGGAACCCGAGGAAACCGGGGAACCCGGCCGCCGGGGACACCCGGGGACACCCGGGCCGGGACATTTGGGGACACCAAGGGAACCCGGGAAACCCGGGGAAGACACCGGGGGAACCCGTGGAACCCAGAGAACCCAGGGAATGTCTAGGGAACGGGCAAAGTAGGGTCCCGAGAACCAAGTAAAATCCTTTGAGTCAAGCCCAATTGGGGAACTTCTTTTTGCACCATCGTCTTCGCAATGGACCGAAACTTATTTGTTTCTGTTAGGGAACTCACTCGGCTTTCATAGTGCTGTTCGAAGTACTCCAGGAGGACAGGGTAGCCGTAAACAGGCTCAAGGCATTTCAAGAAGGCAGTGTATACGAACGTGCACGAAACGTATACGAGCATTGTATCAAACGTATACGATCGTGCGGGGCGCGTATCCGGATCTTATGCGGGCCGCTTCAGAAGCGCATGCGAAACGCATGCCCGACGTACACGGAACGTAAGCGCCACGTGTATGACACGTCTATAACGCTAAACACCCACAGGAATTTCACATCTTATAGGAGACTTTCAGGAATCCTTGGGGAATCCCGCAGGACCCCCTTAGGAATCTTGAGGAATCTCTCAGGGAATCAGTCGGGGATCCTCGGGAATCTTCCCGAATCTGTTCAAGTCTTCAGGGATGTTTCAGGAATCCATGAAGAAGCCTTAGGGGAACCCTCAGAAATCCTTTGGTAAACCTACAGGGATTCTTCACGAATCTTCTGGAATCCTAAGGCACCCTGAGGAATCCCAAGGAATCCCTCCAGAAGTCTCGGGAGTCTTTCAGGACGTCTGAGGGATCCTCACACACCTTGCAGGAAACTAAACAAGAATCGTCAAGAGTCCGACGGTATCCTCAGAGTTCTTACGGATTTGTTCAGGAAGCTTTTTAGATGAACCCACACGAATCTTGCACGACACCGAGGAGTCGCCTTCAAGGATACACCTGTGAAGCGCAAACCAAGCGCCTACGTAGCCACTTTTCCAAGCCTTTCATGCGCTTGGAAGCTTAGCACGAACCGTTGGGATGTGGACCGTTCTGGTTTTCTTACCGGCTGGGATCTGGACCGTCCATGTGGGATCTGAACCGTCCAGTTGGGATCTGGACCTTTCTCCCCAGCTTGGGGCCTTTGGGGGCCCGACAAAGACCCGCAACAAGCGGGCGCAAGTATGTCCAATCGTTGGAGCTGAATCGAAGGAGTGAACACATGCGATGGGCAACGCACCTTTTCTATGTGTACCTATATACACATCTGTATGCACTTGGAAGAGGCCCACTCAGGGGGATCGAGCATGCATGACTCAGCAGACCTACTGTAGTTAGTCTCGGCAGCCTACTCCAAATTATTGATTGCGCATTGTTTCTATTAGTGCTCCCGCATCTGTCAATATACACCGACATACAGCTTCAGACATGTATAAATGTATGCGTGTGTGTGTGTGTGTGTGTGTGTGTGTGAAACAAGATGGGGAAGGTCTGTTGCCGAAGCAATGTCTGATGCCGCTATCGGACAGCAATGCCTGATACATGTTCCAGTCGGAGGGGGGCTCACACTGAGGGGCCGTGGGTGGATTCGGGGGGGGCCTTTCGACAGCCCATGCGATGTTCAACAAATCGTATAATCAAGTGTTGATGGGCACATGGGCCACCCAATAGCGATGTCCTGCGGATATTTTTGGGGTACCTGCGGGGAGGGCAGCCTCTATTTTCCCGACTTGGGCTGGATGGGTCAGCGCAGGCAGGATAAGATTTCATTGAACGGATACGGCATGGGGTGTGCGCGAGCACATTCGGTATCGCCGTTTCTGCGCAAAGCGGCGAGCAGGCTACGGGAAGCAGAGCAGTTGAGGCGAAGGCAAACGAGCTGCAAACGGGCAGCGAGCTTTGTAGATGCACGCGGTTCTGCATTGTCGATCGTCGCCCGAAGACAGTTGTGTGCGGGACTCCCTCCTCCCCCTTTCTTCCTCTTCTTCCAGCTCCTCTTGTTTTATATTTATCTTCCTATGCCACCCTCTTCGACATCGTTTTTATTATTCTCGTTCTTCTCCTTCTCGTCCTTTTTTTTCGCCCGCCTCATCTTCGTTCTCGTTTTCCCCTCAGCTTGTGTGGGCGCATACCCCGTTTCTTCCCTCCTCGCCCCTTCAAGCGATACTATGTCTTGACAGCAAAAACAACCGCCAGATGCTGCCCGCATCATGTGGAAGCCTGGCGGCCTCCCGGCGTCGCCCCGTTGTCTGGGCGGGTAGTCCTGGCTCTCGCGTGCCTCGTGGCACCGTGCTCTTTGAGGATGAGGACCTGCGAAAAGGATGCCGAGCTGACAATCCCCCCCCCCCCCACCCAGGAGGAGGCGGAGGAGGAGGAGGAGGACGAGGAGGGACGAGGAGGAGGAGCAGAAGGAGGAGGAGGAGGAGGAGGAGGAGGAGGACGACGAGGAGGAAGCCCCCCCGCGGCTCCATGGCCTGGCTGCCTGGCTCAGCCCCCTGGCAGTGTGCACCTCCGCGCGCGCCTCCGCGTGCGCCTCCGCGTGCGGCCGCCGGCTCTCGGCCTCGCCCCCGCCGGTGGGGCCCGCCCTGGGCCTCGGGACCCGCCGGGGGGGGGGGGCGGAAGCCAGGGAGGAGGAGGAGGAGGAGGACGAGCAGGATAGGGAAGAGGAGGAGGGGGAGGAGGAGGTGGAGGAGGTGGAGGACGCGCTCTATGCGCTGACGCGTGTCGTGCGGACCCGGAATTCCAAAAATGGCCCCACCGTTGAATGCGCAAGCGGATGAACGGAATTGCGGAGGAGGAGGAGGAGGTGGCGGTGAGGAGGAGAAGGAGGGAGGAGGACGAGGACGATCAGCAACAGCAGGAGCTGGAATGGAAGGAGCGGGCGCAATAGGACCCGGGGAAGGCGGAGGCGCGGAAAGCAGGAGGCGACATCGATCAGGAAGGATTTTGATCCAGAAAAGTGGCCCGCGCAGGGGCGAGAGTGCCGTTTCTGAACGACGGGAGAAAATCGCCGATCCTAAAATGCGGCCCAAGCTGCAGCAGCAACACCATCTTGAACGATTGGGAACGACCAGATTGTAAAAAACATGTGGACCACCAACCTTTGAATTCCCGTGCGAGAAAAAAAAACAATACGCGTGCGGACGGGGGCGTGCCCCCCCTCCCCTCTTCGGGAGAGAGCGGAGCGTATTCTTTATCTTGAATAAGTGTGTGAGGAGGTGAAAGAAGAGGTAGGAAGGAGGAGGAGCACAAGGAGGAGGAGGAGGCGGCGGAGGAGGAGGAGGAGGAGGAGGAGGAGGATTAGTCGACCGCGTCGTCGTCGTCTTCGACGCCGAGTGGCCCGAGGAGTGGGGACCGGAGGACATTCCTTGAGTATGGGCGGCCGCTCGACGTGGCCGTCGCGGACCTCAGGATTCTCTCTTTCTGGCGGGGCCCTCCCCCCCCCTCCCCGCACATCTCTTCTCATGGAGGACCGAGGGACCTATGCTGTATGAGGCGTGCCAGAAAGACCCTCGCGTTCGCGTCGTCGAGATATTGGTGCCTCTTCGTCTGCGGGAGGTCTGCGGATGTTGGCGGAAGTGAGACGGGGGTCTGGTCCGGCTGCGGAAGCCGTCGGAAGGCCAGCGGAAGCCAGCGGGAGTACAATGGCGTCCCCAAGAGATGACAACATTTTGGGGTTCAGGGTCTCGCCAGTATTCCCAAGCTGCACCGAGTGTTGCGAGTGACGAGCAATGGGTTCAGGGTCTCCAGACGCTCGCCCGGCTCGTTCTGGCATCCTGCGACCCCCCGCCCGTTTGAGCGAACGTTTCGAATCTCGGGGGCGGCAAAGAGGGGGGTGATGACTGGGGGGGGTGGATATCATGGCGGGGGCCATGATACTTCCCCAGATTCCATGGCGCCTCTTCTTATTTCATTGCGTCCCTGGCCCCCCCGCTGGGCCGCGCACATGCCGCCGGTCATGATTTGCGCCCCCCCCTCTTCGACACCCCCCTCTTGGCCGCTCCCGAGAATCTTGGCAGGATCTGAGTGGATCGAGACGAGGAATGACCTACGACCGACCAGCCATCCAGGCAAAGTGCGCTATTCGGAAGGACGGCTTCTGATGCATCGATTGCGATCTAAACGTCGGTTGATTCTAGACCGCGTTCACTCCCCAGCGTCGTTTTGTAGTTGAGAGTGGGGGCAGATGATGCACGTCAAGTGGCCATCTGGATGGTCCCCCGTTGCATCGGCCCCCAGCCATTCAAGGAGCGTCGACGACGTGCTCGACGAGGATTCCGGGGAGCTCCAGGAGGGCGATTGCGAGATGTGTTGCAGGCATCCCGACAAAGTTGAAGCTCAGACACATGCCCCAACCGCTCGCCTCCCCTCCCACCCTGGAGCGCTGGCGACCCCTGAAGGATGGGCACGGCTCACAACACCCTTAGTTCTAGGGCATGGGTTGTGCATCGTGCTTTCCCATGTGGGACGCTCCAGAGAGGGCCTCGCCTTCGAGGGCTCGAGAGGTTGTCATCTCTTCCTCGGGGGAAGCCCGCGGAAGAAACATGTTGGCGTTCAATAGACGATTACATGTGTTGGTTTAGGGTTTCCTGATCTCGCCATGTGGAACCGATGGTGCCAACCAGAGTGGGGGCGTGCCAGTGGCTCTATTCTCCTGTGGAACAGGTCGATGTTGCTGACCTTCCACCACCTCATCCCAAAGGAGCCCGGCGATGAGAAGAGGGAGGCAGATGGGACAGAGCAGGAAGAGGAGGAGGAGGCACGTTAGCATAATGGGAAGGTCTTGAAGGCTTAACAACAGGATGATAGCAGGAAGGACAGAAGGATCAACATGTGCATATGCAGCAGAAGAGGGAAGAGTTTCATGTCGAGTGCGACGACGGATGATGCTCAGGAAGAGGAGGAGGAGGAGGAGGAGGAGGACCTTCAGCCCATCCCGTCACCGTGCCTGGGTTGTGGGTCAAAAGTTTTTAGGATGTTAGTTGGGATATCGCGGGAGGCCTTTCGGGGTCTTCTTGGGGGCCGTTTTAATGCCTCTTGGGGACGGTTTTGGGCCTGCTTGAGGCGTCTGCGGGCTCTCTTGGAGGTCTCTTGGGGCGTCTTGGGTGCCTCTTGGGCCCTTCTCGGGGCTGTCTTTGGGCGTCTTGTCCGCCTCTGGGGCCGTCTTGGAGCCCTTTTGGGCCGTGTTGGTGCCCTCCTGGGAGCCTCTTGGGTCGTCTTGGGCCGGTCCTGGGGCAGTCTCAGGCCGTCTTGGAGCGTCGGGATTTCGAAAAGTCGAGGACCCCCAAATCATGGCAAACATATCGTTTGGCCTCTCGGGGCCCTCTTGGGAAGGCTCTTGGGCCACTCTTGGGGCCTCTTGGAGGCCTCTTGGGACCATCTTGGGAGCCTTGGTGCGATGGTTCGGTGGCTCGGAGCCCTCTTGGACCGTCTGGGCGGCATCTTGAGGCCCTATTGGCCTGTCTTGTGCCCCCCTTTGGGCCTGACCAACTCATGCGTGAAGAAGCGAGAAGCTCTAGGTACTCTTGGGAGCACGCGAGAAGCCCAAGAAGATTTGGAACCTCGGGCTCCGGATCCATTGACGACTCCTTAGGGGTGCTTCGGGGGCTAGGCAAAGGACCTGATGACACGCCCACTCCGTGGCCAGCGGCACGGTGGCAGATCAGGAGCAGAAGCATGAGCAGGATGAGGAGGAGGAGGAGGAGCAGCATTCGCAGGAGGAGGACGTGGACGAGCTGGAAAATTCAGGACGACCCGGACGTTTCATACACGCAGATTCAATGGAGCAGGTACATTGACACGAGCAAGAGTTGAGGGAGGAGTTGGAGGGAAAGGGTGATCAGGGTGAGTGAGCGGAGCAGGATGATCAAGAGGAGTAGGAGAAGGATCAGCAGGAGGAGGGGCAAGGGACGGGAGGAGTTCAGGATGATAAGGAAGAGGAGGAGGACGAGGAGGAGACATGCGGGAGGTGGGATGAGAAGCAGGAGTCTTACAAGAGACATGAGGCTCTGGAGGAGGGGCAGGATGAGCAGGATCAGGGGCAGGAGCGGTATAGCCGTGTCACGCATGAGCTACATCGAGTGTGTGCCACAACATATGGCCTGAATGCTTCGCATATCCCGACAGTTGCCAGTACAATGCGCACGTCTTGCGTGACCTTACGATCAATGGCTTTGCGTGGTGCGGCCTTGCGTCGTTCGTGCGCGTGCCATCGAATCCTAGACCGTCTGATTCGGCCGCTTTCAACGGCTCCACTGCCATCTAGGGCTCATTCTGTTCTTGTACGCCTACTTCCGTCATGTTGGTTGCCAGGTATTCCATGTGTGTTCATGCCGTATTGGGTGCAACAAGTGAATGACAATGTGCGAACTCATTGTTCGCCCACTATGACTGACTCGACCTCTGTCCAGTCCCTCCTGTCATGTATCCGTTTTATTTTCTGCCGAAAAGTGCTCAGTTTATGGCGCAAGCGGTAACAGTGGGATGTGTAGTGCCACCAAGTAAGGGCCAGTGCATGATCGGTATCAGGTTGTGCAACATACGGTGCAACCAATATCATACATTTTTAGTAAGGGCCGACGTGTGCACAACATATTGCGCAACCAATTACAGGCCGCGTATTCGATCGCCACGTGCGCAATCTATGGCGAAACCAAAGGTAGCACGTGCTATTCTTGGCCGCCGAGTGCGGAATTGATGGCGCAACCAAAAGCAGACAGGCCGTTGGTATCTGCGGCCACCGAGTTCGAAACCTGTGGCGCAACCAGTAGCAGCCCGTATTGTGTTTGGCCGTCGGGTGCACGAATTGTACCGCGATCAGTGGCAGGCCTGCTTGCATTCGGCAGAACCATGCGCAACCTCAGGTGCAACCCATGGCGCTCCTCGCAGGTGGCGAAGTCTTCGGCGCAATTCACGGATGGCGTAACCCACGGCACAACCCATGGGTCGCGTAACACATGCAACTAACGGGTGGCGCAATCCATGGCACAACGAAGCAACCGATGGATCGCACAACCCGTGGCGTAATGGATGGCGCATCCAAAGATGGTGCAAAGCATGGACATAGCACCCTATGGCGCGTCTCAGGGGTGGCGCAATCCGAGCACGGCGCATCCCATGGATCGCACACCCTGTGGCGCAATCCATGGATCGCGCAACAAAGCAATGGATGACGCAACCCATGGCGCTACCCCGCATCCCACGGACCCAACAGGGCTCCCCGCGGCTGGCGGGAGGCGGCCACCGCGCCAGACTGCAACCTGCCACGCGCCCACGCGGGGCGTCCCAAAAAGGGCCCCCCATTTGCCGCATATTGGTCGCCTTCGGCAGAAGCCCGCGGGAGTAAAACGACGGCGGCTCCGCTTGCGGAAGGTCGGCGGAAGGCGGTGGATGGGCGTTCCATGGGCGTCCCCCAAGATGGGATGGGGGACGACGACGACGACGACGACGATTTCGACGACGACGGCGACAACGACGGCGACGACAACGACCACGACGACCACGACAACGACGACGACGACGACCACGATCACGACGACGACGACCCAACGCTGCCCTACACCCAAGTGGGGGGGGGGAGGCGGGGGGGGACCACCGCAGCACCGCCCTACACCCACAGGAAGAGGAAAGGACCCATGGGGGGAGGGGTGGGCGATCCCATTAGCAAGGTGGGGGCGGGGGCGGTCCCTGGAGTAAGAGGTGCGGAGGTGCGATCGCAGGGACATGGGGAGCCCCCAGCAGGGCAATCGGTTTCAGTTTCGTGTTCGTGTCGCGCGTGCGGGCGGGGCGGAACCGCGTCGGCGGGCGAAAGGAATGAACCCTCCCTTGGCTAGGGCGCCGCCAGACCAAACGACTCCACCCCCCAGACTGTCTCTCGGTGGCGGGGGGTGGCCCGCCGTGGTGTCCCGATGGTGTCCCGTGGTGCCCGTGGTGTTTTGTGGTGTCCCGTCGGTGTCCTGTCGATGTCCCCTCGTGGGAGCGATCGTGAGATTGGTAGTGAGGTCGATCCTGAGACCGATCGTGAGATTGATCGTGATATCGATATTGATGTCAGTAATAGGACCGATTGTGACGTCGATGGTGATATCGGGAGTAGCAGTGGGATCGATAGTGGTACCGGGAGTAAATTTGCTGGCGATATTGGCAGTCGTACCGACCGTGATTTCGTTAATGAGATGGATAGTGCGATCGATTGTGATATCGACAGCGGGGTTGATTGTGAGAGCGGCCCAGTGAGGTTGTTAGTGAGATCGATGGTGACGTCCCGCCGATGCCCTGTCGGTGACCCGTAGCGAGATCGGTCGTGGGCCTGCTAGTGAGAATCACAATGAGGCCCATACCGATATTTATTGTGATATCGATCGTGCCATCGATCGCGCAGCCGATCGTAAGATCGATTGAGTGAGACGTTGGGTACCCCCGGACCTCCTTATCACCCGAAAAGGTGGTCGTATGGGTCCGTGCATATTTATAGATATATATATAGATATGTACATATCTATATATATGTGTATATATATATATCGATGTGTAAATGTTCGCCAGTGTGGACTCCCAACGATGTTGTGCGACCTTTGCGGCGCAGTATAGGTGTTGCACCCTACGTTGTGCAATTTATGTGGTGCAACCTACGTGGTGTAATCTGTGTTGTGCGTTCTATGTGGTGCATTCCGCCTTCTGCATTTCATTGGGTGGAGCCTTCGCGTGTCAATTCGTGTGGTGCAAGCTATGTGGCGTAGCCGAAGTGGTTGTTGTTAATTCTTCTGCCCGCGCAACCATCCCACCCACCCACCTGCAACTTTGTTTGCAAATCCCATGCGGCGGCGATTGTGATGAGTGTTTGGCGTTGGCCGGTGCATCTCCGCAGGCGCGCTGACCCGCGCATGCTTGCGTGGCTGACGCGGCCGCGGTGGCGCTGACCGTTGGGCCGTTGGGCATGCCCCAGCGGGCTATCTAGTGCGAGTCGTTGATTTGGGCGGGCACGGTCTCATGTCGACGCCGACAACGGCAGACAGGATGCTGCTTAGTAGCGATGAAGGTGGCGATGATGACGATGACGACGGCAAGGTCAATGACGGCGACGATGCTGCTCATGCCGATGACGATGGCGGTGACTTCGCATCGGTGGTAAAGGTTCCCCGGAAGGAGTTCGAATTGCGCGCGCGGCCGACGCGCGCGTGCAGTCCGCAATCTACTATTTGACAGAAGTCGTGCCCCCCCAGCACGCGCGCAAGGGCGTTCGAATGATCTCGCCACGCGTCGCGAGAGGCCCGTTTGGTCGGATTCCCAATGAGCATGTCGAGAACTTACGGCTTCATTGAGAAATTGCAAGACCGCGCGCAGACCTCTTCTGAAACTAAGGTTGCAAAGCCATGCGCTGTTGTTTCCGGGGCGGTCGATTTGAAACCCGTGCGAAGTCTACGGTTTTAGGGGGTTCCTGGCATGCGCACGCGACGACGCTCCCGCGCGCTCCTCGTTACATCCGTTGGAGGGGGGATTCTTGCGACAGCACGCGCGCAAGTGTTTTCGTTTTAACATGCGCGCGCGAGAGGCACGCGATGTCGGATATGATAATCAAGTTTGAACACTGGTGGCTTTCAAAAGCGTTCGTTCGAACGCGGGCGCAGGACTCTTTGCGAATTCGCGCTGCGAAACCGGCGGCTTCTTGTGCGCATTGTTCAGGGCGTCGAAGTTCAAATCCTTGCGAAACCCGCGGTTTTGGAATGATTTCGGCATGCGCGCGCGACGTCGCGCGAGCGCGCGCATCGCGCCATGTTTCGCAAGGGGCCCATGACATTGACGGCCGTTGATAAACGAGTGCACGCGCATAGTTGCTCCAGGAAACGAGGGGCGAGAACAGACTGCCTGGGGTGGGCGAGTGCTCACGCCCACCTGCGACAACTATGCGAACATGTAGACCGTTTGGCTGGGGGGGGGGGTAATTTTCAATTTTTCTTTATTGACAGGATAATATATTGTGTACAGTTGCGCAACGCAATCAATGTGGTTCAATTATGCAGTGCAGTATCAGCTGTGCGTTCTTTCTGGTGCGACAGTGGTTGCGCAATCCAGGTGGTGCAACTTGCGCAGTTTATATTCGGCTGTTTGTGGCCATCCTAACCCCGGGTCATATTGGGGCGCCCCCGACTCGAGGTGGATAAGGGGCAAGTCGGGCGGGGCGCGCGCGGCCGGGGCGGGCGCCTGCCGCGCCGCGTTCAGCGATGGCGGACTAGCGGTGCGTCGGGAAGAGGCGGCGCCACTCGCGATGCATGCTGGGCTGCTGCCCGGCGGAAGCAGCTGGCGCCACTGCCGCGGAGCGGCGGCGCGGCGGTCGCCCTGCGTCGCCAGAGCGGGGCGGGGTGCCCAGCGGGCCGCGAGTTCCTCGCGCTCCTGTGGCGCGCGCCGCGCGGTCGGGGCAAGGAGCGGCGCGGCGCCGCGGGCCTGGGGGCGCCGCCGCGGCACGAGGCTCAGACCCTGGGGCCGGCGCCAGGCGCGCGGGCCGCCGACGGCGGTGGCTCGCAGGCGCCGTCGGCGTTCAGGGGCGGCGCGGTGGCGGGCTCGAAGTTGGCCGCCCTGGAGTCGCAGGGGCAGGCCCCGAGGCGCCTGGCCCCGCAGTGCGCCCGCGGAGAGGCGGGGGCTTTGGATGGCGAGCTCGAGGGGCCAACGCCCCCGCGAAAGTGCGGCCGGGCGGCCGCGGGCGCGGCGGGCGGCTGGCGGGCTCCCAGACGCCCGGCGCCGACGCCGGGCAGGCCCTGGCGTGGCGGCGCTGCCTGGGGCGGGGAGATTCGGGGCCCCCAGCGGCGCGAGCGACGCCGAGTAGGGCGCGCAGGACGGCGGCTTGGCGTGGGGCGCGAAGTCCGGGCAGGAGGTCCTGGAGAAGGTCGAGGTCGATTGGGGGGTCGAGGACGAAGATGCGGCGTCGGAGGAAGGCCTGGGGACAGGGCGAGCCAGTGACCCCGCAAGAGGACGGCGCGGCGCTGAAGACTGGCCGCGGCAGAGCAGTTTCCCCCGGGCCCCCGGGCGACGAGGATGATGTCGACGAGGGGCGCGACGACTTCGACGGCGCGGCCGAGGAACGCGAGGGCGACGTCCCCGACTGCAAGGGCTGCGACGCTGCCGACTGCCTGGACTGCTCGGGCGGCGACGCCAGTGGCCTCGACGGCCCGAGACCCCTCCTGAGCCCAGACCCTTTAGGTTTGCCGGGCGGCCTGCTCTCCCCGAGGATGAGAGCGATCGAGGCTGAGCTGGCGGCGATCGGGGATGAGCTTGAGGACGACGCCCTTGGCAGGCCCATGCGGTCGGCCATGCAAGGGCTGGACGGAGGCGCCGTGCATCTGCGAGCAGGGCAGCGAGTGCCCGGAGGCGCTTTGGGCCCAGTTCTCGGGCGGCGTATTCGTGGAGGCAGCGAGGCAGAGAGACTTGCTTGCGATCGCCGGGCGCGTCGGGACCTTGCTTGGGGCCGAGCCGACGCGATCGCCCCGGCCGAAGCAGGGGGCGACGGCCCGCGCGCAGGGCAGGGGCAAGCGGGACAAGAAGGAGCCCTCAGGGCGCGCCTGCGGGCACAGACCTCGAAATTGAAGGGGGCGCCTGCGGGCGCAGACCGCGAAGGTGGCTTGGCCGACAGCGCGGCGCATTGGGGTCCTGCGGGAGCGCTCGCGGGCGCAGACCTCGAAAGCAGAGCGTGCATTCTTGTCGTGATAGCTATTTTCCGCTTGCATCGCGCAGGCGCGCTGGCCATCGCGATTGGAACTATCCGCCGAGTGGCGTCGACCCTTGGCGCGTGGCGAGTGGGCAACCAAACGAGCGGCTCATTCTATGTGGTTCAATCCTTGTGGTGGAATGAATATTTACGGAAGAGTTAACGCATCTCATGCTCTTGCAGCCGCCCCGCCCACCCACCCGCAACTTGGTTTGCACAGCCCCCGCGGTGGCGATGGCAATGCGCGCTCGGGGTTGGCCGGTGCAAGTCCGCGGCCGCGCCAGCCCGAGCGCGCGCGCGCAGCGGCCAACTTGTTTGGCGCGGCCGACGCGGCCGCGGTGGCGCTGACCGCTGGGCGCACCCCAGTGGACACTTTACTGCGAGTCGGCGACTTGAGCAGGCGCGGCATTATGGCAACGTCGACAACGGTAGACGCGATGATGATAGTAACGATGTTGGTGACGATGTTGACAACGACGAAGGCGCGGCCAGTGCGGACGCCGATGCTGATACTCCGACGACGACGACGGCGCCGTCGCGTCGGTGAGGAGGGTTCCGGACAGAGTTCGACGCGCGCGCGCGTGGCCGACGCGCGAGCGCGGCCCGCGCGGCTGTAGTTGTCGCGGATCGCGCCCCCCCCCCCCCCCCCCCCGCCCCCCCCCCCCCCCGGCACGCGCGAAAGGGCGCGCGAATGATGACGGAATGCGCGCAAGGGCGTTCGAACGATTTCGACATGCGCGCGCGCGAAGCCCTTTTGGCGCCACGTTATGAACATGGCGTAAACAAACCGATGTTTTCCAAACGATTTCGCAAGAGCACGCGCACAGGCGTGTTTTGAAGATGCGTCTTGCGCAGCCATGTGTTTCATATTTTTTGTTGCTCGATTTGGACATCCTTGCGAAACCGGAGGTCAATCTTTATGGCGGAATATGTGCGTTGCAATTGATTGTGGCAGATGGGCTGACGCATCCAATGCTCTTGCCAACATCCCACCCACCCACCCGCAATTTGGCTTGCAAAACCCCCGCGGTGGCGATTACGATGCATGCTCGGCGTTGGTTGGTGCATCTCTGCGGCCGCGCCATCCCGAGCGCGCGCGCGCAGCGGCCAATTAGTTTGGCGCTGCCGGCGCGGCCGCAACGGCGCCGACCGCTGGGCGCGTCCCAGTAGGCACTTTACTGCGAGTCAGCAACTTGGCCGGGCGCGGTATCATGGCAACGTCGGCGACGGTAGACGCGATAATGATAGCAGCGATGCTGGCAACGATGTTGACAACGACGGCGGGCGCCGATGCTGATCACGCCGACGACGATGACAGCGTCTTCGCGTCGGCGATGAAGGTTTTGGAAAGCGTTCGACATGCGCGCACGGCCGACGCGCGAGCGTGGCCCGCGTGGCATTGGTTGACGCGGGTCGTGCCCCTCCCCAGCACGCGCGCAAGGGCGTGCGAATGATGTCGGCATGCGGCGCGCGAGGCCCGCCTTGCATAATTCCATGAACATGTAGAACAATGCGTTGTTCAAGACTTTGCAAGAACGCGAGCACATTTTTTTGGTAACTTGACCGTGCGGAACCATGTGTTGTTTGTATGTGTGTTGTTGACATTCGGTTTTGCAATCGTTACGAGACCAAAGGTTTTTTGGCGGATTGCGGCATGCGCGCGCGACGACTTGCGCGCGCACTTCGTCTCACTCTGTTGCAAAGGATTCTCACGACGGCACGCGCGCAATGGCGTTCGAACGATTTCGACATGCGCGCGCGAACCCCTTTTTGGTAGCATGTTGTGAACACGTTGAAAAACCAATGGTTGTCATAGGAATTTGCAATAACGCGCTCACAAGTTTTTGGTTTGAAAACCCGTGTTGCGAAATCATATTTTTAATGTCTTTGGACGCTCGATTTTGGGGAGAAATTTTAGGACACCGCAGGTTTTGAAAGATCCGGCATGCGCGCGACGACGCGCGCGCACTTCGTGCCACTCTTCGCACGGGGTTCTGAAAAAATGGTGACTTTTGATAAACGACTGCGCGCATAGTGCTTCTGTTGCACAGGATGGCCAGGATGGTAGGACTTCATATCAAGGCTGGACGATGGGGCAGAGTCAGGTGTAAATTGCAGTACCGAAAGGGGAACGGATAATCCGGGCGGGGAGCGGTAGAGTTCTTTTTTTCTTTGAAGAAAGGACAATCGATGTTATGTAAACCAGGGCAGCGACGAGGCGGCGACAGGGCGGTGACGGCCGACGCGGAGCCGCCAGACCGACACACAAGCCTATGCGACGGGCGGCGACGGGGCGGCGGCGTCCAGCACGGAACCGCCAGACCGACACACAGGCCCAGTATTTCGGACCAAAAGTACAACCCGAACTGCAAGCACAGTGCGGGGAACGAATGCGCAGAGAAGGCGCCGCGTGTTGCTATCCAACGTATTCGGAAAATCAAAGCATTTTCCATTTCGCTACACCACGATTTGATGTCATAATCGCCGCAAGTGCTGTTTACGCGTGGTTAGGCGAGGAAGGGAATCTTGCGACGTAGGGCTCCGGGGAGGGATTGACCCCTCCCGCAACGGTACGAGGATTGCAGTTCGGAGTTTGGGGGCGCAACGCCAGGCCACCTGCTGCCGCAAGGGCTGGTTACACCAGGGTCGCGCCATGCCAGCTTTGTGTCATCGAACGGGGTCTGTTTTCGCCACGGCAAGACGCGGTGCGAAGACCTGAACGCATGTTATTGGTAGCTGCGTTCTTCTGCTCAAGCACGACGGCTACAGGAGCACGCGCGTTCTTATCGCCGCTTGGCACTAAGGCCAGCCTGATGGAGTCGGTGGCCATCTTGGCCGCCTCTTCCCTGGCAGCGTATGGCTTCGTGGCTGCCACCAGCAAGCTGCAGGTTGCTGCGACCAGGCGAAAGAGGATGCTGCCACGCGCCCTGGAGCAGCAGCAGTGCCCCCCCGAGGCGGAGCTGCGGCTGCTGGTGGTTCACATCCGGGCCGCGTCTCTCCCCCCCACGTTCGACGGCGCGGAGGTAAAGATCCGGGCGAAGCACGGGGCGGTGGGCGTCTCCTCGGCGTGCGACACGGCGGCGGTCCGCGTCCACCGGGAGCTCGCCTTCCGCAGTCGCGTGCCGAGCCGGCCCGTGGTCGCGCACTTCGACACCTCCTTCGTGTTCCTGTGGCAGGGCGACCAGGAGCGGAGGCGGGGAGATCTGTATCCGCGACCGCCGCCCTGGGGATCGACCCTCGGGGGCCTCGGCGGGCGGTGGATACTGATTTCTGCGGGCCCTTGGAGGCAAACTGGCTCTTGAATTTACAAACGGCTTCTCGAATTCAGATGATTTTTTTTATTTGAAAAAGGTTATTTTGAACTCCAGAAATGAGGGTCCTTGAATTCAAAAGCTGGTTTTTGAAGTCCAGAAGCAGTTTTTGGAATTCAAAAACCAGTTTCTATGTCCACAGCTTGCCGCGGTCCCCGAGGATCGATCCCCCAGGTGGTGGTTATGGGTAATCCCGCGTCGCGCAGGACCCATCCCTGGGGATTCTGAGGATCCGGCTCGTCCGAGGCTCGCACGGCGGCCGCGTGGTTGCCAAGGCCACGGTGCCCCTCTACGGGGACGCGGTGGGGCAGCAGGAGTTCGACCTGCAGCTCACGGGCTCGCCTGGGCTGTTCGCGGTCGAGGCTTGGCAGGAGGTCAAGGAAGAACAAGCGGCACGAACATACACTTTCGAAGGTCCGCGCGGACCTCCGAAAGTTTATGTTCATGCCTATTACTATTATTCTAAGGTCGTTGGCCATGTCGACGTTGCCACGGAGATCTACAAGATGTCCAAGGGCGACCTGCGCCAGCACCTGGAGCGGCTCCACGCCCAGAGGCGGCAGGGTGCGTTCGTTCTCGCGGAGGTGCCAGTCACGCACGGGGAGGTGAAGGACCCGTCGAGGGAGAGCGAGCAAGAGGAGGACGAGGAGGACCAGGATGCAGTCATGATGGGCCTGCCCGTCGGCCGCTGAGGATACAGAGAATTCAGACATCGCAGGCGCGTCGTGCGGCGATCTGCCCTCGGCCCGCACTGCAGGACGAGCTGCATCCGGCACATCGCTGAGCCTCGGCTCCCTGGAAGCGTGGGACTCCATAATCTCGGGGAGCAGCAGATAACATAAGCATGAACTGTTCTGGGTTTGATCGGGTTTCTCGGATCGGCGCTGGAGCCCGCTGGCGGCGCCTTCGGCGCCGCCCCGGGCGCGCTCCGCGCGCCAGGGAGGAGCCAGCGCCGATCCAAGCAATCCGCGCGGATCTCCAAAAGTTGTTGTTTATGCCATGTTCGCGTTTCTATATTCTTCCCCCTCCCCTGTCCTCCCTCCTCGATCCTCCCCCGCCGGAAGCTGGACGGCCGAGGCGCCCCACAAGCTGGGCGAGCTCGTCCCAATTCGCACTCGCAGGGCGGCCAGTGCTCGGCCGCGTCATGCATGGCGAGATTTAAGTCGGGCGTGTCCTTCTACGGGAGATAGATCCAAAAATAGTCGAAAAATAGTGGGGACGATTTTTCGATGTTCTGTCCATGTTTGAACATTTGTTGGCTATTTCTTATTATTCGTCCAAAATCCACCTGTAGGGGGACATGCCCGACCTAACGCGAGATGCACGAGACATCTACCGTACAGTTTTGTAGATCAGCACAATTCCGATGTTCCTCAAGTCTAGGCCACCCAAGTGGGGTCCGCGTAGATGGGGTCGGAGGATCACGCCGCATCGACGATGCGGCTCGGTGTGGAGCCAGAGTTTCTCCACAACGATGGCGCGGATGCATCGCCGACGTCGCCGATGCATCGCCGATGCATCGCCGATGCATCGCCGCTGCAGCGGCGATGCGGCGCGATCCTCCGACCCCATCTTCTCAGACCCCATCCAGCAGGCCGCTGTTTCATTGTTTCCCTTTTGAACAGATAAGGTGTATGTTCCAGGCTGCCAGGTTACGCTTGTAAGCCGACTCTGCCTCGATCTGTCTACTTCTGACCCCGCTCACTGGAAGTAGTCGAGGCGAGGCATGAAGATACACCACGTCGCTGGGCCGGGGGGTGGGATGCTGGGAGGGGATGGGGAGGGTCCTGCTTTCGGCGTAGGATAACCGTCGGGGAAGAGTCCCACAACTCCTTGTGCAGTTGCGTGTTCTGTTTCGCACTGGTATTTTAATGATTGCCAGCGTGGACTCGAAACAGCGAGCGCTCTCTGGGTGTGCAACCTATGCTGCGTGGTGCAAGCCATGCAGGCTGCAAGCACTGTTGTACAAACCGTGCGCGTGGTGTGAGCAATGGTGTGTTGTCCACTGTTGGTGCCAGCAGTGCGGGGTGAGCCGAATGGGAAAGTTGGTTGCTGCCAGCTGCGTGGTGTAAGCTTCGAGGTGCCAGCAAGGCATCGTCAGCCGTGCTATGCCCTCCATGCTATGCCCTCGGCACACCCAGCCAGCGCACGGGGAGCCCACGAGGCGCCCGCGGCCGCCCGCCCGGCGAAGCCTCGACACACCCAGCTGGGGCAAGGAGCGCCCACGAGGTGCCCACGGCCGCTTGCCAGGCGGAGCCCTGCCCACACCCGCCCAGGGACTCCCAAGCAGCAGCGCGAGGCCCGGGTGCCAGCACTGTCTCGGGGATGGCTGCCGCAGGCCTTCTCGGAGCTCCTTCACCGACCGCCGTCGAGTCAGTGTGCGTGTCGAGGACCCGCGAGGACTCCTCGCAGCAGCAAGAGATGGCTGGGTGGGGCACGTGACGTTCCGCCCCCGTCCAACGGCTTTACGGTGATGCGGGCAGCTTTTGGTAATCCGCCTTTCCCAGGCCCCTATTTCGGCTTCATCGGCGTGCAGTCGCCTCGCGCCGTCGGCTTTTCTCCCCTCGCCCTGCTCTTGTTCCAGATCACCTCTGCTCGATGCGCATCCAGACCCGCTGCTCTAGCGGTATGTACCTTACTCCTCGCCCCGTCCGCCGTCCTTCACTGCGACGAGAGTTCAGACTGACCCCCTTATCAGCGCTGGCCCCAAGCCTTGGCCCCTTCCAAAGCCGCCCCGAGAAGAATGATGAGCTTGGCACGGCGATGCTGAAAGGATCAGCGCTCGCATTAGCGCGTACCCGTGTCCGCCCGAACCACCACCGTAGAGACATTCTTCCATACTGGGAAGGCGCCCTCTGTCCTCGTCCAAGTGAGCGCACGTGGGCTTGGCGCTTGCTTGGAGCCCCCCCGCGAGGTGCCCAGGCGGGCGCGAACAGGGCCCACGCCCTGCGACGGGCATGCTGCACGTGCAATCATCCGCAGCGATGCCTGGATCCCCAGCGCTGCATGCCTCTGTTTACCCCGAGGTCGATGGCTGCTGAGAGAGACTCCGGGTGGCCAGGGCGAGATCTTCTGTTCCAGTCCGCGGGCGCCGAGTGCTCCGAGACGGCCAGACGCCGGTCGGCAGGCGGTGGGGTGCACCGGGAGCGAGCCGAGGCACGATGGGGGCAGCGGACGGAGCGCGAGGGGGAGCGGTGGGAGGAGCCCCAGGGCGAGCTCACGGGCGCCTCGGCGCCATCGCTGGCTCGAGGCGCCGAGCGCGAGGCCGGAGCCCCCCCCCTCTCACCAGCCTCGAACTGATCCCCATCCCTGGGGCTGGCACGCTGTGAAAGGAGCTGACGGTCTCAGGGAGGCAGCCTCCGAAGCGGAGGAAGGCCCTGAGAGCGCCACCGTGATGAGGCGATGCCCGACACAGGGATGGAGGGATTTGCTCCAGGCTGGCACACCCCCGCCCAGAGGGCGCTGCGCCCGGAACCGGATGCACCCGCTGCCGGGGCTGCCGCCGCGGCCTCCCTCGGCGCCCGGCTGCGGGCGGGAGGCCCCGCACGGCAGGAGGGTGCTGAGCTCCGCCGAGCTCGAGGAGGTTCGGCCACGCGCAGACCCAGGGGTCCAGCGTGTTGACTTGGCATCGCTCGGACGTGTGCATTTTTTCTCGGCGACCACCATCGAGGACCATCCTGGACCATCGAGCCAAAAAAACGCACGAAACCGACAAGTGCACCTTGGAGGCGCCGCTCTGGCGCCTCCAAGGTGCAGCGGCGACCCCCCCGCGAAATGGACGTCCAAGCGACGGCACGTTGAAGAAATCAGGACGGAGGTGTTTCCTGCTTTTCGGCCTCGTGCGGCCCTCGCCAGGCCCCGGGGGCCGTCTTAGGATGAAACACCCGTCCTGGGGAATGGGTGGAGACTTCCGGGGTCCGCGCGTTGAACAAAAACATCACGACGTCGGATCTCTGGGGAGGGGGGCAGGGGGCAGGAGGGAAGGTCTCTTGGAAGCACCCCTGCTTCTGAGATGGCGCCGGCCTTGTCTGCGGAGGCAGGGCGGAGGCCTTCTGAGAGGGAGCCTCCTCCTGAGACGCCTCTTGCCCCCCCCCTTCCCCCTGCCCCCTCGTGCGCGCCGCCATGAGGTGCGCATCGAGGAGAAGCGCAAGGAGGTGCAGCGGCTGCTCCGGCGCAACGCGCAGCACATGGCCAGCCTGAGGGCCTGCAGCTCCGAGCGCCGGCTGCCCGAGGGGCAGGCGGGCGGCACTCCGCGCAGGGGCGCCGGGCCGCTGTCCCGCAGCAGCTCCTTCTCGGGCGCGCGGTCCGGCCCGAGCTCGCGCGCGCCCTCCCCGGAGCGGGCCGCCGGCGAGCCCTGCTGCGCCAGGGTCGCCCCCGGCTCCGAGCTGGAGGCGCGCGGCGGCCCCGAGGGCCCGCCTCGCGGCACCCCGGCGTGCGGACCGCCCGCGCGGCCGCCGAGGTTTCGTCCGCCCGGCCGCAGCTCCAGCGGGCCTCTGGCGGCAGAGGCCTCGTCGAAGCCCAAGATCAAGTATTCTCCGTCGTTGCAGCGCTTCCGCATGTTCTGAGCCAGTGCGGCCCGACCGGCCGGCTTGTCCCGCCGGGCGCTGTGGGTTAGCGAGGAGGGCGGCAGGGAGGAGGGGTGGGCGGAGAGGGAAGGGGAAGCAAATGTACTCGTAGAGCCAGTCGTTTCAGCCAGTCGTTTTTTACAGCGCATGTGCGAATTCGAACCTGCCGTCGCGGAATCTTGGCACGGCAGCGCGAGCGGGTACAAGAAAACCAAACAAAGTTCAAGGGCGGCAGAAGTTTTCTTCAGTACCGCCATGTCGAGGCGCCTGCGGGGCCGTAGCCGTTGTCGTGGGCACCTGCCCTCCCTGGGGTGCAGCCAACGCCACACAGGAAGGACTAATTTCTTTCTGGGCAGGTGCCCCCTCCCCCCCATTGGGTTCTCGACCCTTCGGTCTGAGGGACACCGCAAGACACCCGCTGTCGGAGGTCAGTTGAGACTGGAGTGCAACGAAGCGTCCCCTGATTACCCGGGAAAGCGGTGTCAGTGTTGTTCCTTTCGCGCGAGTGGGCGAGGCAAATTTACGAGATCACCCGCCGCATCTAGTTTTGCGAATCTTTCAGTTAGATCGGTTCGATCAGTTCCAGGTCAAGGCAAGTTGCACGAGTTAGAAGGAGTGGGGCGCGTAGAAGGCACATGGGGAGAGAGAAATAATATTCCCCCATCCAATGACATGTTCGCCTTCGTCCGTGGACCTGTTGGCAGAACGCTGAGAGGCAAATGCCATCGTCAAGATGAGTCCGTTGCTCCTGTGGCGCGGCAGCACCCGCGCACACACACACATACACATACACACGCTCGAAAGGTATGGTCCTCCTTCGATCGCCCCGGAGACAAACACCGACCCCTGTCCCTCCTGCGGGGTCAACGACCTTACAACTTCCCAGTCGTCCACCTCCCTCCCTTTTTGTTTCCTCATGCCTGTCCCTACCCCTATTGCTCGCATTGTTTCAAAAAGTATTGCTCTTTCTCGTCCTCCTCCTCATAGTGTGAGGGGCTGGTATTATTCCTTTTCCGTGTTCTCTTTCTTATCTTGCTCATCAACCTTACAGTGTGCCACTACGCATTCTAGATGGTTCCTGGCTCCCACACCCGCCATCCTCATGAACGGTTCCCCCAACGTGTGCCATTCTTCCCGCCGTCTTCCAATTGGAGGTTGACGGAACGTGCTGTTCGCGGGGACGGGATGCAATCAGACCGAACACAGCAACATGAGGAAGAAGCGCCACAGTTCGATTGAATGACTTCCACGAGCGCACGCGTGAACGCGTGTGCCCCTGGGGTAGCGGAAGCGCAACATCCTGCTTCGATGTTGTCCGCGTTTCTCTGTGATGCAGAGCCGTTCGCGTCGGTGTTTCGGTGTGCTGTCTCTTCCTTGCGCTTCCCCCTTCTGAGGAAACATGACTTTGGGGGTGCGGGCCGGAGTGGAATGGAACGCCCGACATCGGGAGTCCTCATTCGGCTTGGGTCTGATGCGTGTCGCTCGTGCGGGCAAGGCGAAGCAGAGTGTGCGGGCGAGAAGGGATACCCGACCGTAATTAGCTAGGGTCACGTAAGACTGAAGTGTTTCGCGTCATTGTTTGGCCGTGGTTCGCGGGTTGCCCCATGGTCTCCCGTGGGGTTGTCCTGTGCGGCTGCCACGTGCGGTTGCCACGTGCACTTGTCCCGCGGATTTTCGTGCTGCTGTGCCAAACGCTTGTTTTGCTTGGTTGTTCCGTGGTTGCGCCGTGGCTGTTCAGGTTTTGATTGCCTCGCGGAAAGAAGGTTGGAATGGATTGCCCATTGAAGCGCCCTGCAAGATTCTTCATATCATAGCCCAGGCTAGATCCGACAGAACAGACACCCGTGATATTACAAGTTGGCATTAGCATGGATGGGTCACCACAGATTATTGATATAGTCGCACGGGGGTCGATCAGGGTGCTAGTCAGCACTTGATGCAATTGCAAGATCGTCGATATGTCTATGGCACCCGTGGCGGCAGAAGACACTAATCGCTGTTTGGAACACCAGCGAGATAATTGTAGCGTATTCTTGTAAGTGAAAAGGGACGCAGACATTGTGAAACAGGGGGCCTTGAGAGGGATCCAGTGGAAGTGGCAGAAGGGATATCATACGACAGACCACAAGGGAGCTTAGTCGGGAAAGTAGAAGGGATACAATAAGGGAAGCCATAAGGGAGACGCGCAGGAGACCTTCAAAAGGGACCATAATACGGGAGGACATTCGGGAGACCATTGGCCACCAATTCCGGATCTGGAAGACCTTACACATGGATTTGGGAGATGAGAGTGGGCCTTCGGAGACAAGTTGTTGAGTATGGGCATGCTCAGATCCATCAAAGACAGGCTGTCGAGGGAATGAGACAGATGTGAACCTAAAGTGATGCACATCGGATACAACATGGTGTGCATCATTTGTTTATGTATGCACGGCAACCGTTCAAACATCGGCATGCAGTTATGGTGCCAACCCGATGCGGCCAACACGAAACGGGAATTGAGGGATCACCATTCCAAACAAATCATCACCCGAGGGGTGCTTACACGTATAATTTTGTAGCGGTGTTGCGCACTCGCCTTGATGTGTTCGTCCTTTCTTTCTCAGCTTCCCGTCCTGGCCCTGATGTCGAAGCAGTGTGATCGCACGGAACTGTTTCTTCACTTATTTGCCCGCCAATGTTGGATCCCCGCTGAAGTTTTGCTTCTTGTTTCCCTGCCCGTCCAGGCTGAGAGTGAGCCTGGATGAGAGGGGGCAGCCGCGTGCTGTTGCGATGTGGCTTGCGTGCCATCCATTTCACTCAAAACCCTTTCCTGGCTCACCTGCGCGATCTCTCTGCGACCTGTTGCGAACCCTACGCCTCAGTGGCGGGGTGTCGGACACCCCCGTTGGGGTTTAGTTGGTTGCAGGCATTCCTGACCTGCAGGGGTGGGGTTCACGTGTGGCTGCCTGGATCTCGGCATTGCTCGATGGCTTCTCCTGCTCCCCTTGGCCTCCGCGACCACCGCGCGCAGACACCCGCCGAGGACGTGCACCCCACCTACCTGGGCAAGCGCCTACCCCGCGGGGTGGAGGCCCCGTGCGCGTGCCCCACGAGGCGCCGCGGGGCTCTTTGCTTTCCCCGTCCTGCGGGCTGGCGTCGCTCGTTTGCGAGGAAGGGCTCGGCATCGCGCGGGGCTCTTTGTTTTCCCCGGCCCACGGGCTGGCGCCGTTCGTTTGCGAGGGAGGGCTTGGCATCGCGCGGACGTGTGCATTTTGTCTCGGCGAGGACCATCGGGGAGCATCCGTGACCATCGAGCAACGAAAAAAAAACACGCACGAGGCCCAACCACTGCACAGGGGAGTGGACGCCCGAGCGGCGGCAGGAAGAGCTCTCGACCCGCCTCTCGCCCCCTGCATACCGCGACCGCCAGGCCCAAGTCGTGCTGGTGTTCCCCGGGTATCTTGGGGCATTGGCAAAACACCCACCCAGGCACGTCGAGTGAGGAAATCTGCATCGGTTCATTCGATGTATTGGCATTCGAGTGTGCCGGTGCAGTCCCAAGGCAGTTTCGCTATTCGACGTGCTTTTCGCTGGATGCATTTGGTTCTTATTGGATGTCGACGAGGTAACCCGCTGGGGTCCACTCGGAATGCTGTGCCGTGCGCGCGTGGTGAGGGGGTCCAGGCGAAAATTTACCCCCCCAAGTGTAATTCGAACAGAACGAAAGCCGAAATCCAGCTGACCCCACCTGGGCTCTCGTACATTTGTGCGCGTGCTTTTTTTTTGTTTGTCTCCTGGCGGCCGGATTTTTGGAATGCGCGGTTCGCGTGGCTATGGCGCGGCAGTCTCTCGCGCGTGCTTGTGTCAGGCTGGCGCAGCCAGCGATGGCGTCGTAGCAATCGGCACCAGAACGTTACGATTGCGTCCGTTTCGGGATCCTTCGTGCGCGCTTCGTCATTCGCATTTGTCGAACCTTCTCCTGTGCTCTTCGCGCGCGCCGGCGCTGGCGCCGACGTTGCCATTTCCCATGATAAAGAAGCGGCGGCCCAATCACTCTTGCAACACAGTGTTGCGGAGGTCCACGTCAAACCAAAAACGTCCGTTCAAACATGTTATCATTTGCTTCCATCAGTACGATCCAAGGAAACAGAAACGCCACCAGCAAAAACCCAGCCGAATCCCCGCCGCGGCCCAGCCGCCGCACAGCCGCATCCCAGCCACGGGCCGTCTCCCTAAGGGCCTCAACGTGGCCTCGTGAGACCGCACAGGAAAGAGTGGTGCGAAAAATGACGGGAGGAGAACGATGCAGGAGCATGGCTGCAGAAAGGCGAGGGCCGATCGCCCGGAAGGACGGGCGGGAGAGACGGCAAGGAGGGCGCGACGGGAAGGCGGGATGGCGACGAAGGAGTGAGGGAGGAGAGAGGCGGAAGAAGGACGACCATGGAAGAGGGGAAGAGGAAAGGAGGGGGACCACCGGTGAGGATCAACAAAAGGGAAGCATACGGAGGACAAGGGCAGAAGGGGGGGAAGTTTTTTTTAAGGGGGGGCGGCGGTTGGGCGGCGGCTCTGGGCGGCGGCTGGGGTTTGGCTGGGATTTTGACGGGCGGCGGCCATGATATGGCTGGGATTTTTGGTGGGCGGAGGGCCCGCGAATCTCAGAAGCGTGTCTGCCGCTGAGCATGGCGCGTGACTCGTAGCGGTCAGGGCACCTTCGGTTTACTAACGCTCGCACCCGGCGCCCCCGCATTGTAACGGGCTGCGGACGAAGCGCACTTCACATTGGAATTTCTTTTTCATACGTTCTGCTTCACAGTCATGCTGCACTGTGTGGCGGCATCGCCGTTTCGACAAAAGTTTTATGTTCCGCAGTGGTGCTGCGCAGCGTGGCGGTTTCCTTGTTGCGACGCGCCATGCTTCGCAGTCGCGCTGCGCTGCACGGCAGTGGTTTTCGTCGACAAACGTACGCGGTTTGCTTTGCAATCGCGCTGCGTTGCGCTTCGTGGCCGCATCCTTGTTTCGACGCGCGGGCCTGTCTGTTTCCACGGGCGCGTGCGCGCCCGAGGGGGTGCGTTGCCTCCCCGTCGTTCGACGCGGTTTTCACTCTCCTTGGTCGCGCGGCGCATCGTGGCGCTGCAGCTTCCTTTCGCTTGGCCGCGCCGCAGCAGGCGGCGAAGCGCCGCGCCCCCGCCTCGCCGCTTAGTTGGCTCGCGGCGCGGCTTTCAGCGCCGCGCGGCAAGCTGCGCCCTGCGAGCGCGAATTGTTGAGGCGGGCGCTGTCCAAGAACGCGCGGCTCTGCTCTTCTGCCACCCCCCCATGTCCCCTTCCCTCCAATCGTCCCCCCTCTATCCCCGCTCCCTGTCCTTTCCTTCAGTTGCCTCGACGCAGCACCGCCGCTGCGCCGCTGCCTTTCTCCGCGAGGCTGCTGTCGTCAGGGTCCCCTTTCGCTTCGGGAGGGTTGTCCCGCGGCGGGGCCGCGGTTGTGCGAGCGCCGTGCCACTCCCGGGTTTTCTCTTGGTGGGGGTCTTTTCGACGCGCGATCGCCTGGGCCTCCTCAGCACGTGGAGTGCCATTGGCAGCTTGCACTGAAAGGTGTTTTTTAAGGGTGTCAATTTTCGATATTCCGCTTCGTTTCCTCGACGAATGACGGCTGCGCGCCGTGGTTGCCAGGCCCAACGTGTGCTGGTGTTCTGTGGGGATCCCGTCTCGCTGTCCCGGGGGGGGGCGGGGTCGTTCGAACCATGCTGTTTTTTTTGTTTTCCGGGGGTGGGCTCGTATTGTCGTTAGTTCGTGCGTGTAATAATGCAATCGCTGGCACGCAACATAATGCACAAACGCAATGAGGGGGGACATCTACGAGATCTGAATCTTTGGCGCCGCGACAATCCCAAAGCGGTTTCGTCCGAGTTCCCTTGCGAGTGATGCGAGGCGACAACTTGGCCAAACACGATTCGCGTCATGTTCAGGAGGTCGTAGCCACGCCCGTTAGAACACATCATCGGGCAAGTGGTTGCGCCCACGTGCGTGCCAACATGCGCAGGACATTCCTGATCTTTCTCGGTTGCCTTGCGCAGACAGACGCGAAAGTGACCGACGATCCATTCCGCGTATCGATTATCTGCAGGCTCTGCGCGCACACCAGTGGGCGCACGTGCTTCCTCTTGCGTCCTGCAGTGGAGGCCCATGCCAAGAAACACCCTGCCTGCCTCCAAAGTGCCCCGGGTTTGTTGGTTTTCGCTGGCTTTGCTGTAGAAGGCGTGACGTTCCCACACAAAATAACAATGAACGTCCTGGGGTGTCAGTATTGGGTTTCTTGTGGAAGGTTTCTTTTGGACGGGCCTCCACCGTACTGAGGCGTGGACACACCCATTCGCAGCCATAGACGGCCAGGACGTGCACAAGCCGAGTTCCGTGGGTTGGCCAGATACGATGCTGGTGGGCCCGCGCGCACACTTTGAAACACCCCCTGACCACCGCCCCGCTAGAAGCCACCCGAATCGCGTGAAGGTCCACTCGTGATCTTTCTGCAGTAGCATGATGACGCTCGTGAGGGAAGCGGGCAACACAGAGGGAAGACCAAGGGGCGAGGAAGGGACAGCACGCAGAGGAGAGCGCAGGGAATGGAAGCGAATAGCGTTCAAGGAATGGGTGGTGGTATGGAAGGGAACAGGGGCGTGGTTGTGGAAAGGGGGGAAGTGATTGCGCAGCCGGGCACTGGGCGGGTGCAGGGCATTCCTCAACACCTACGGCCTCATGATTTGCCGACCGTGCCACAACACCGTGCACAAGATCGCAGATAATGGGGTCGGCGCTATTGTTTCTCCTCGCTTGCTGCCTGGGCATCCTTCAGCCAGACCCAACTTCCATGTCCCTTATCCTCGGCCGATCAGCAGTGCTTTTCGACGTCCCGTCATCGTTCTCTGTCTTCCACTGGGTGATTTGTCTGGTTGGAAGGGTGTGCATCCGTTCGCCCCCCTCCCCCATACACGGCAGTTTCGTGTGATACACATCATGCGCGCGCCCGCGAACCATTTGGTGATATCTTCCGCGTGGCCAAAACGTACAGTCGCTAACCACTATGAGAACTCGGTTGGCGCGCTGGCAATCTTCACCGAGTCCACCTCACTGCAGTCGATGTGGTTATGTCCAGCTTCTTTGAGCCAGTGCGAAGGTCATCCTTCACCTCGGTTCTCAAGCTGCTACCTGCTGTGGGGAGCAGAGGTGAAATTGCGGGCGAAGCGTCCATTTCGGTCTGAAACTTGGCGTCGCGTCCACAGCAATTCATCTACGTTGTGGTATCGCTGCCGCTTGCGTGCCTTCTCTTCTTCCCTCTCTTATCCAGCATCCGTGTCTCTGCCTCGTTCGGTATATATATATATATGTATATATATATATATATGTATGTATATATATATATATATATATATATATATATATAATATATATATGTATCCGAGGCCCAGGCGCCCCGGGCCCGTGGCCAGGTGGGGCATGGGAGGACCGGGGTTTCCCAGACCGCTCCCAGAGCACCCCGGAGCGGCCTTGGAGCTCCCAGACTATCCCAGAGAGCTCTCAGAAGCCCTCGGGGACTTCGACGAGCCCCTCCAGACAGCCCAGATAGCCCCAACGTGGCCCAAGATGGGTTCGAGACCGCAAATACACTGCCCAAGAGGCCTCCAAGAGGCCTCATGAGAGCTCCCAGAAGCATCCCGCGAGAGAGCCCGAAGAGGCCCAAATCATTGAGTTCCATATGTTGTTTTCAATGTTTTTTGGTTTCTCGCGTTCTCGACCTTCTCACGCTCCAAGACGGCCGACGACGCCTCCATGACCCCAGACGGCCCCAGATTGCCCAGGAGGAGCCCCAGACGGCCCAGATAGCGCCAACGTGGCCTCATACCGACCCAACACGGCAAATGCACAGCCCAAGAGGTCTCCAAGACGCCTCAGGAGAGCTCCGAGAAGCATTGCGAGAGAGCCCGTAGAGGCCCTAATCATTGATGTGCACTTCTTTTAAAATGTTTGTTGGTTCCCGCATTTTTGATTTTCCGACGCTCCAGGACGGCCGACGACGCCCCCAAGACCGCCCCAAGACCGCCGAAGAGGCCCCTCAAAGAACCCCAAGACGGCCCCAGGGAGTATGAAAGTTGCGCAGGAGGAGCTCCACATGGCCCAAGAGAGCCCCAGGACAGGCCCAAACTGGGCTACAGAGCGGGAGCGGGAGGCGCCAAGGCGCTCCAACGGCCCAGAGGGGCCCAACACGGCAAATACACAGCCCAAGAGGCTTCCAGAAGCCTTCAAGAGAGTTCCGTGAAGCATCCCGAGGGACCCTTAAGAGGCCCCGAGCATGAATTGTCATTGTTTGTTTTACATGGTTTTCGGTTCCTCACGTCTTCGACCTTCCCGCGCTCCAGGACGGCCGACGACACCCCCAAGCCCGCCCCAAGACCGCCGAAGAGGCCCCAGAAGAGCCCCGAGACGGCACCAGGGAGCTCGAAGATTGCCCAGGAGGAGCCCCAGTCGGCCCAAGGGAGCCCCAGGACAGGCCCATGCTGGGCCACAGAGCGCGAGCGGGAGGCGCCACGGCGCTCCAAGACGGCCCGGATAGCCCCAGCGTGGCCTCACATCGGCCCAACACAGCAAATGCACGGCCCAAGAGGCCTCCAAGAGGCCTCCCAGAGAACTCCGAGAAGCATTGCGAGGGAGCCCGAAGAGGTCCACTCCTGGATTGTCAATAGTTTGCTGAAGGTGTTTCGCTTTCTCGCGTTCTCGAGCTTCCACCCCAACTCGTTTCCGTTTCCTCTGCGTGGTCCTCTTTTCATTCCCGTGTTCGTCATGCCATCATTGGTGCTATTATTGGACAAAGTTGTGGAGCTCATCCCCATCCTGCTCCTCCACACCCCCTCCTCCCTCCTCTCCGTTGCCTCGTCCTAGTCATTCGTTTCCTCCCGTTTTCTCGCCTTCACTTTCGTCCGCCGCGCCCCACAGCCAAGACGCTGAAGCTAGGACCGCGTTGGGTTGGGAAGGAGTTCGCCGCTTCCCCAGGACAGTCCGTGGTCGTTCCTCTGGCCCTCGTCGTGCGCCCAGCCTCCCTCTCGCGCCACGCTGGAGCTTCGTTCCTGATGAAGGCCTCCCTATTGCGGCAGCTTGACTGTACTTGCACGCGTACATGCACGCAGCAGTGAATTTGCCAAGGGTCGATGTTTTCTAGAACCTCAGCGCGCGAAGCGCTCGCGTGGTTCCAGTGTATATAGATGTATATGCACATCGATATCTCTCAAAACATACCATTATGATGCGATTGCGAGCGATCCATATATACACATGTGCCAGTATGTTAGTTGTTTGCTTTGTCTTTGCCAGCAAGTTCCAGTTCCGGTTCAGATGGCGCGTGTTGTTGTTCGATTCATCTTCCCCTCAGGAAAGAGTATCGCTTCGACTACGAGCTCACCGAATGCAGTTCTAGTACAAGGTTAGACATGGAGTCCACGCTCGTCTCGCGGCCGCGTTCTTCGCGGCGTCTCTGTGAGGCTTCCAGCGGTGTTGTGTGCCCTGGGCGCCTCGATGAGTGCATGGTGCTTTGCTTCGGCGCTCGCATTCTTACGAACTTACGCATGCGTCCGTGTGAGCAGCACGGCGCCGACGCACTGCTCTCATCGTGCTTGCGGATCGCGGGCGGATCGCCCGAGCGAGTCGTGCAGGCGCCAGATGTGCGTGGCGCCTGTGGTTTCGCGACACTTTGCGGGCCTATAAGCCGAGCGGACATGGTCTGCGCCGGAGCCTTTGTGGCGCGCCAGAAAGGGATGGCACCGACTTGAAGTTCGAAAAAACGAGACAGGAGACGAGCGGAACATGCGAAACCAAGTGGCACCCGTGCCCTGGCTCTTGCGCCAAGGAGCTGCGAGGGACAGGAGGCTTTCGCCTGCTTCTTCCAGGAGTTTCCTTCTGTGGCCGGGGGGGTGAGGACGACTGACGAACGAACGAACGACGACGACGAAGACAAAGAGGTCCGAGTTCTAGAACAGAGCTGCGCAAGATAATCAATTAGCGTGTCTGGGCAGGGGAGTTGCGGGAAGGGGAGAATCGTTTTTACATTACGAGAATTTGCGTTTCTCAATGGGTGCAGCGGGGATTGAGGAAGTCGAGGCATGACAGTGCCAAGTGACCACAGCAGGAGAGGAAGGTAACAGAGGACGGGAACAGGAAAGGACAGTGGGCAACTAGTGCCGAGAACGTGGCGGGGGTGGTACAACAGTTCCACGGGTCGTGGTCTGGGACGACGGAAGAATCAAAATACAACCGACCGCATTCTTAAGAGTAAGGGGAATGCAGAACTCGCCCAAATGAAAAGAGGTGGGCCCTGGAGCAGAAAAAGCGGTGGAAGATGGGGAAGAGGTGCAGGACTTGGATGGAGGTGAGAAGGAGAAGGGGGAAGGAGAGGAAAAAGAAGGAGGAGGAGGGGGAGGCAGAGGGAGGAAGAACAGGAAAATACAAACCCGTCCAGAATTCGACCCACCCGCTAGGGCGCACCCTCGCCTCCAAGCTGGCCCACCCGTGTCAGCAAGATATTTGAAAGGCGGCAGGAGAGCAACCAGGACCCGAGTATGTATGTCAGAGTGAGGGGGCCGAACGGTCATTCATTGTCCCTGGGTGCGTGGCGCAAGAAGTTCGTGGTGTGAATTATGCTTGTTGTGTTGTTGTTGCTGTTGCTGTTGTTGGTGTTGGTGTTGGTGTTGGTGTTGGTGTTGGTGTTGTTGTTGTTGTTGTTGTTGGTGTTGAACATTATTAATTCTAAAGAATAATTATTGTTGGGCCCCCTGGTGCGCGCCCCCCCCGCCGCGCCTAGGCCGCAGCCACGTTTTCATCATTTTCGTGAGGAAGCCTCAGGTAATTCGAGGTGATCAAGATCCGGTTGTTTTGTTGTAATCCGTTTTCCCTTGCAAAAAACACTATAAAATGACATTTCTTGTTCTAATATAATCAAATTTCAAGAATCCCTTGCAAAAAATAAGGTAAAGTGGACATTCGCGCGCGCAAGACGAAATCCTTCCAAAAGCTTAGTGTTCGGAGCGATTTTAACATAAAAACATCAAAAAACCAATGGTTTTTCAACAAAAAAATGTCAAAATCTCATCCCGCGCGCTCTTGCGGATTCGTAGGAAACCCAACACTTTTTAAACATTTCTGTCAAACGGGCTTTTGCGAGCAACTTTTTCGAACTTCTGCGACAACGGTTGCGCACCTGCCAGGGCCATCATCCCTGTCAAATAATACCATGCGGGACACATTCGTTTTTTCTTCGCGCGCGCACGCCGAAATCTCCAAAAACCATTGGGTTTTTTAAGAATTTTAGCACCGCGCATCATAAAATCACACGAATCGCACCGTAGGTCCTCGAAAAACACCTGCACGACTTTTCAAAATTTCCACCCGCGCGCGCTGTCCGAATCCTAAAAAAACCAATGGTTTTCCAACATTTATGTTACATGAGCTCGCGCGAGCTACTTTCGCACGCTCTTGCAACGGGGTTCGCGCGCCTGCCAGGGGCCAGAATCCCTTGCGGTTGCGCCATATGTTGCGCCCTCGGCCGCCAGTGGGTGTGTACTCCACGCCAGTGTAGTAGCCACGGTCGTCCGCAGGCCACGAAGTGAAGTGTCCGAACGTCATAGGGCGGGAAGCTGGGTGTGGGTGGTGGCGAAGAGTCGTGTGGATATTTGGTAGAGCTTGCACTGCCCCCCCACAAAGTGGGGGTATTGGCTGGCGTCGCATGAAAACCCTGGCACTGGTGAGAACACTGAGCGTTCGGGTAAAGTGATTGTTGTTGTTGTTGTTGTTGTTGTTGTTGTTGTTGTTGTTGAACATTATTAATTCTAAAGAATAATTATTGTTGGGGCCCCTGGTGCACGGCCCCCCTGCGCCGCCTAGGCCGCAGCTACATTTTCATCATTTTCGTGAGGAAGCCTCAGGTAATTCGATGTGATCAAGATCCGGTTGTTTTGTTCCCCCCCGCTTTCCCTTGCAAAAAACACTATAAAATGACATTTCTTGTTCTAATATAATCAAATTTCAAGAATCCCTTGCAAAAAATAAGGTAAAGTGGACATTCGCGCGCGCAAGACGAAATCCTTCCAAAAGCTTAGTGTTCGGAACGATTTCAACATAAAAACATCAAAAAACCAATGGTTTTTCAACAAAAAAATGTCAAAATCTCATCCCGCGCGCTCTTGCGGATTCGTAGGAAACCCAACACTTTTTAAACATTTCTGTCAAACGGGCTTTTGCGAGCAACTTTTTCGAACTTCTGCGACAACGGTTGCGCACCTGCCAGGGCCATCATCCCTGTCAAATAATACCATGCGGGACACATTCGTTTTTTCTTCGCGCGCGCACGCCGAAATCTCAAAAAACCATTGGGTTCTTAAGAATTTTAGCACCGCGCATCATAAAATCACACGACCCCGAATAAGTGACCAAGTTCTGTGGGTGTGTACCCCACGCCAGTGTAGTAGCCACGGTCGTCCGCACGCCACGAAGTGAAGTGTCCCAACGTCATAGGGCGGGAAGCTGGGTTTGGGTGGTCGCGAAGAGTCGTTTGGATATTTGGTAGAGCTTGTAATGCCCCCCCACGAAGTGGGGGTATTGCCTGGTGTCGTATGAAAACCCTGGCACTGGGGAGAACACCACGCGTTCGGATAAAATGATTGTTGTTGTTGTTGTTGTTGTTGTTGTTGTTGTTGTTTGTTGTCGTCGTCCCACCCGCGACCCGGCCGCGACCAATCCCGCGACCCACCCCGCGACCAACCCGTGACCCGCCCCGCGACCCGCCCCGCGACCCACCCGCGACCCGCCCCGCGACCCACCCGCGACCCACCCCGCGACCCACCCCGCGACCCACCCGCGACCCACCCGCGACTCACCCCGCGACCAACCCGCGACCCACCCCGCCACCCATCTGCGACCCATCCGCGACCCACCCGCGACCCACCCCGCGACCCACCCGCGACCCACCCCGCGACCCACCCTCAAGTGAGGAAAAACCATCCGGACCTGACAACTGACGTTTGCTAAACGGCCCTGGGCGTTGACTAAACAGCCTTGCCCTGCTCGATTCATTCCTTGTGTGCGTTTACTAAACGGCCTCGCTTGTCGGGATGAGTCTTGTGGGGTGGTTGTTCTGTCCCCTACACCCGCGTTCCAACAGCGACCCACCCGCAACCCACCCGCGACCCCATTTGCGACCCGCCCGCGACGTACCCACATTGGTTTAACGAAAAAATCGGCGCCTGGGCGGGCTCGTAGTATAATTCGTGAAACTGTGGCACCTGCGGCGGGCTTCTGCAGAGTCTCGCAAACTGCCGACGTCTCCACCGCCCCCTCACTCTCATCTGCATCTGCGGGGTGCTACGGTAAAACCTCATATTTCCAGACATCCAAAGTGGGGTTCTTCTTTTCTCTGCACACCCCCCGCGCAGGAGACCCGCGCAGGAGAACAAGAGCACACCCTCTCCTGTCTCTAATCGCACAGTCATTCAGACGCATTCACTCAATAACTCACACATCATCACTCACACTCACTCGCTCACCCACTCACTCACCCACTCACACACTCACTCACACACTCATCATCATCACTCACTCACGCACCCACTCACTCACTCGCCCACTTACCCGCCTATTCACTCACTCACATCATCATCATCATCATCATCATCATCAGCAGCAGCATCGTTATCATCATCGTCATCATCATTACTGTCACCATCATCATCATCATCATCATCATCATCAGCATCATCATCATCATCATCATCATCATCATTATCATTATCATTATCATCATCATCAGCAGCATAATCATTATCATCAGCATCAGCATCAGCATCATCATCATCAGCATCTTAACTCATTCACTCACTGATTCACTGACTCACTCACTCATCTAAGGCGGGAGCCTCGTCTTTCAGTGATTAATCCGCGGCGGGCCATCGGAATCTTTCAACAGTTGTCACTTTTGGGCCCCTGAGGCTTCAATATGGACAAAGTATCAGGCGAGCGCCTCGTCTGTGAGCGAATTGCGAGGAAGTCTCAGGCGGGCGGGAGCCCCCTCCCTCCCTTTGGGGCCCGCAGCTTATGTTTTTATCCGAGGCGGGTCATCGGAATCCTGTAACTGTCGTCAATTTGGGGCTCCTGAGGCCTGAATGTGGAGGAAGTACCAGGCGAGAGCCTCGTCTGTGAGTGAATTGCGAGGAGGTATCAGGTGGGAGCCCCCTCCTCATGGGGCCCGCAGCTCATGTTTTTAATCCGAGGCGGGTCATCGGAATCCTGTAACTGTCGTCAATTTTGGGCTCCTGAGGCTTGAATATGGACGGAGTATCAGGCGAGAGCCTCGTCTGTGAGTGAATTGCGAGGAGGTCTCAGGCGGGAGCCCCCTCCCTATGCGGCCCGCAGCTGATGTTTTTATTCCGAGGCGGGTCATCGGAATCCTGCAGCTCACTTTTGGGCTCATGGGGCTTGAATATGGGGGAGGTATCAGGTGGGAGCCTCGTTGTTAACGATTTGCGAGGAAGTCTCAGGCGAGAGCTCCCTCCCTATGGGGCCCGCACCTCCTGTGCTTCCTCTGGGTCGTCCTCGGGGTCGTCCTCCGGCGCGCGCTTCCTCTGGGTCGTCCTCCGGCGCGTATCTCTTGGGACGCACGTCGTGCGCTTCCTCTGGGTCATGTTGCGCACGAGGAGGAGGAGAAGGAGAAGGGGAAGGAGGAGGAAGGAGGATGCAGGACGAGAAAGAGAAGGAGGAGGAGGCAGAGGGCGAGAAGGACGAGAAGGACAACCAGGAAGAGGAGTCCTTAGGAGGCCCCAGGATGTCCTGGGAGGCCCTGAAGGTTCCAGGAGGCCCCAAGAGGCCCCAGGAGGAGGCAGGGGGCCTAAGGAGGAGGCAGGAGGAGAAGGAAAAGGAGGGGAGGGAGGAAGATGGAGACGAGGAGGAGTAGGCGGAGTAGGGAGGGAGAGGAGGAGGCGGGAGGGGAAAGGAAGAGGAGGAGGAGGAGGAAGCGGAGGAGGAGGGGAAGGGAAAGCAGGAGGAGGAGGAGGAGGAGGACGCAGGAGACAGGAGGAACAGGGGGAATGGGGGGAGGAGGCATAACGAGGAGGAGGAAAAGAAGGAGGAGGTGGTGGAGGAGGTAAGAGGAGGAGGAGGCAGGGGTTGAAGCAGAAGAATGAGCAAGCAGGAGGAGAAGGATGAGGCAGGAGTATGTGGGAGAAGGAAGGGGGCAGGAGGAGATTCCCAGGCAAGCTAAACAGATTCTCGTGTGGGGTCCTACCGTCCGAGTAATTTGAAAACTGGACCAGTCGTTGCCGAATTCAGCGCGCCCGTTCTCACAGCATCTTGCTCCCATGGCGCTGGCCTCCTGGACCTCGCCGGCCAGGTCCTCGCGACCGAGTACAACACGTTGGCGAAGCTCATGGAGCACCCCAACGTCCAGAGCTGGGTGCGCTCTGGAGGGCAGCGGCTGCACGCAAGACTGATGCTGCCATGAAGGTGTCCCTGCACGCAAGGATTCAGGAGAGGAAAAAACACACAGACACAATTAATCCTCGATTCTCAGAAAATATGGGAAAATATGGGAAGTGGGGGGGAAGACAGAAACCCAGAAAATATAGGAAAATATGGGGAATCTTTTTATTTGTGTGTATTTATTTGTGTGTCCTGGGGCCCCTTCAAGGATGGCGTCCCCAGAATTTCTCGGGAGGCACCCGCGGCCTCTCCCGAGCACCCTTCACGAGATCCTGAGGGCCCTCGGGATGCAACGCTGCGCACAAAAGCTCGGGGCCCTCTCGGGCACCGGCACACCTCGAGCAACTCCCAGCCGCTCTGCATGGGATTGCCGTCCGGAGGTTCGGCCTCGAGTTGTGACCTTGTGCGACCTCCTCGTCCCTCTCCTCCTGCTTCTGCGACTGCGCCTCGACGAGGCACTCTGGGGAGGTGCGACCTGGGATGCCCAGTTCACCTCTGTCCTCTGGCCTGCTCAGATGGCCCCGAGTCTGTCACAGCTGTGGCGTGCGCGGCAAGCCCACATTAACGAATCTCATTTGCTCCCGTCCACACCCCTCCTTCCCCCCCTTCCTCCTCCCACGCACTTGCTTATGACACTTCGCGTGATGGCTGCGGCCAGTGCGCCCCACTGCACCGCCACTATGCTTAAGTCGGGCACGCCCCTCTACAGGAGGAATATTCAAACATAGTTCTCAAACATAGTCTGGGGACGTTTTTTTGCTATTGTTGAGCATGTTTTGACTGCTTTAGCTGTTCGTCCAGAATCCGCCTGTAGGGGGACATGCCCGACCTGACCTTATGCCTCCACTAGGAACTCTGGGAACGTGCGAGTTGGGATGCCCAGCTCACCTCTGGCCTCTGGCCTGCTCAGGTGGCCCCGGGTCGGTCACAGCCAGTGCATGCGAGGCAACCGCAACTGAACAGTGCGAGAGTTTTTTTGGAGCCAGCGCGCCAGAGGATTGATTCATCCAGGGCGCGCCGGACACCAGAGGATGTACCAATCCGGGGCGAGACGCACACCAGAGGATGTCCTAATCATGCGCGCGCCCGAGCGTTAAGCGGGAAGCTTGGTCAAATTGCACACACACACACACACGCGCACACACACACACACTCACCAGCACTTTCACACCAGTGCGAAGGTCGTACCATTTCGTTGCGTCTTGCATAGTGGTGTTGCTTTTTCTCCGGGCTGAAGTCGAGGGGCTCCGTGTCCGCCTGGGTGGAGATTCGGGCCGTTGTTCCGATTCAGCGTCACCTACCTGCTCAGAGCGCCACCCGGGGCAATATTTGTCATGGGTGACCGTCCCGCCCCCCCTCCCTCGCATGGGATGGGCAGCCGGGAAGCGCCAGCCCGCAGTGTTGGACAAGCTTTGCGTGCCACTCGGTCCAGCAGCTCAACCAGTGGCCAGGCACCGCTCGCGTCAGGCCAACATGTTGCTTGGCCACTTTGCTCCGCCGGGCCACCGTGCCCTCCAGGTGGTGACATCGGGAATCTGGGCCCACTGACGGGGTTCAGGCGCCCCAGAGCCATGATACTGCAAGTCCTCCTCCTCCTCCTCCTCCTCTCCCCTCCGTCTCCTCGTGTAGGGCTCTGTTCCCACACTGTGCTTCTCCACGTTTGGATGCAGGTCGCAAGGGGCGTTCCATCGGACACGGGAGGGCTCTGAGTGTTCCCGAACGCTACCCACGAGGGACATAAGTCGAAAGCGGTCGGCGCAGTTGGAGGGACGAGGGTGCAGAGGAGCGCAAGGCAAGAAGTATCCTCACGAGTTGTGCGCAGGTTCCCAATCGGTTCGGCGATAATCGGAGGTCGTTCTTCGATTCGCCTCCGTAACCCACGTTACCTTCTCGTGCCGCATCCGTTCTTCTCTCCTGACATGTGGGCCACGTGAAGAGATCACGATCACGACCAGGGCCCCCACGGAACGTTGTTCCGATTCGAAACAGACACGCAAGGATTGATCGGTGTCGAGAGTCCTGGTATTGATGTTGCGCGACGTCGTCTTTTGCGCACGGCTTCGGATGCTTTGGAGTGGTGTTGCGTGATGAGGTATGGGAGGCGATCGTTCGCAAGCGCCCGGCGCGGCGGGACGAGAAATGGCCTTGGGGGTAATCGGGAATGTGGCGAGAGTGGACGACCGGATGTAGAAAGCACAGCAAGCTCCGTCGTCTCCGTCGCCCCCAGATCCCGAAAGTTCCAAGCGCATGACATGCGTGGCATGCCAGTGTTCATATGTGTGGCAGTTGTGTTTGTGACTTGCATGCTTGACAGTGGCAGGTGGAGTATGCAAAGAAACAACGGGCCACGAAGCGATCTGGAAGATAGCAGGTCGCCCTTATCTGCGTGTCCTTTTCTGCCTCAGGCTTGGATGTGGCATGTAAGATTTCGTCGTGCACATGTGCGACGTGCGCTAATTCTCTTTCTACATTATTCGTGCTACGACGTGTCCTTGCCTAGCCCTCCTCTCGACGGATCTGATTCGGCGACAGATGCGTTCCGGCGAGCGACCGCGTGAGCTCAGCCCTGCGCTTTGGCTTCGAGATCGGGCGCCAATCTCGCAAGCTGGTTTGCACACGAATGTAGATGAGCCACTTCGGTAGCGCAATAGCAGGTGGATGAGGACGACTAGGCGGATGAACTCCACACACTCTATTGGACAGCAGGGGCGAAGGGTCAGGAGCCACTCTCTCGGCAGCCGCCCCCCTTGAATCCTTGATATCGTGAGCCCAGGATCCACGCGAGAGAGCCGTCCCTCTCCTCTTGTTCGTCTACCTGTTGCCACTCCTCCCACGTCACTCCTCCCTCATCCCTAGCCCCTCGTAGGGCAGTCTCTCGGGAAAAACAGGCACAAGATTGTTGCTGTGTGGATTCGCCGCTTCTCAGCTCTGAGAGAGCGCGGTACTTTCGGTCTTGCACGGTTCCAGTTCCATCCTGGACAGACTCGACGGTTGCAGTCACGGTGGCGCTCTATGGGCGCGTGTGTTTTTCTTGTGTGTCTGTGTGTATGCGTGCTAGCAGCGCGTGGAATGCAGCCCCATTCGGTTGGGAACGGAGACTACCTGGTGGAGTGGAGCGCCATTCGGTTGGGACGTCAACCCGCTCGAAGGATACGTCAATAATGTTTCAGAATTCAGGGGACTTTGGCCAATCACAGCAGGTTGGACTAATAGAGGAGACACGTCCTCTCACGTCGCCAGCGTGGCAGCCGATCGCTAGATTCTCTGCGGCCAGAGCGAAATTATGGCTGTCGCGGGGTAAGAAGTTGCCACGCCGCCGCCAATAACCACTTCGTAGCGGGAAGCCGAATGACGATGTTGCCAGCTCCGCAGGTTGAGATCAGACGTCGTGGATTCACGTGATATTACCAGTGACGTGCTGATCAGTCAACGCGCGCTCAGTTTCTTGCGGCGGCGTTCGATTAATAAGGGGAACGTCTAGAGCTCGCCACTTCGCGTTTTCCAGCGCGCTATTTTTTGAGCTCGTCGCAGCGGGAGAAACAGAAACCAGACATTGCCCAAAGGTAGGGGGGTCGGGGAGGCTGGTCGGCGCCAAGCCATCGCAGAGAATATCGTGAGTTTGGAGGGAACTTGCCCTGGAATGTTTTAGCAGCTTTGGCTTGACGGGAGCCCAATTATGCGAAATCGTGTCCGTCCAAGTATGCAATCCTTCCTTCGCCTCGTGATGTCCGGACTTCTGGCTACCAGGCATCCCTGTAAGAAGAGTATATCGTGGAGAAAAGCGCACTGTTCGAACAAAGAGAAAGAAAGGGTGTACGTGTTCCTCCGACGGCAATTTGATTCACGAGTGCGCGCTCTGGGGCTTGGGGTGGGCCAGACAGTCAGATGACAAAGCGGCAGTCCGATCGCTAACGGCCCTTCGAAACATCGGGAGGGTATTGGCAGTTGAGGCACGGCTAGTCGCATTGATCCGGCCTCGAGTCAAGAGGATTGCGAGGCATCGGAGCAGTCCTGCGAGCTGCTAAGCCATGTCGGAACTGCATGGGCGGCCGCACTTGGGAGTCAGGGAGTGGAACATGGTGGAAGCAACCGTTTGGCTCTTCTCTAAGAAGGCGACGGGCTCGATTCGGGTATATCCAGGTCAGAGGCTCGTGGTAGCCAATCATGAAGCACCAATGAGGAAGGAAAGGACCACGCCGCCATGCGGGACGTGGAGGAAGCCGAAGGCATGAATCTCGACCAGGTGTCTATGCAGAGCATCCGCAGACAGGGCTTCAATCTAGCGACAGTGGCAGTGTGGCCAGGACTGGCAGGCTGCCTTGGCATGGTGCTAATGGAGATCGCTGCTCGGCGCATGATTACATGCCGGTCGTTGGAAATAGGTATTCTGGATTCCTAAAACTTAATTTAGCTCAAGCGCATTTCTATTTACAATAATCAATATGGCTTGGTTTGGCTGTTGATTGATTGTTATTATTTGTGCGTGCCCAAACCCAATGTACTTGATCCGCATTCGTACTTCATGCGCCTACTACTTGTTCCGACCGGCGTGTGGCATGTTCGAGCAATTCATAGCGTGCTGTGGAGACTCCACTGGGCTGGCCTACGCATCGTCAGTGACCCTTTGGGCGTGTCGCCCGCCTGCCCCGCCTGGGGAGCTCCCGCGTCACGGCGGGGCGCCGACCCGTCGCCCTTCCACGGGCCTCCCTCGCCACGTGAAGTGAATGCGCGTGGAAGGCTGGAAGGGGCGCGCCCTCTCCTCCGCAGTCCAGGGGGCAGGTGCCGACATACTCGTCGTGTCCCACAGCAGTGTTTCTTGCTGTTGGTGATGGATGCTGCAGCCCAGATTCTCGATTTCGCTTGAACAGGCAAGAATGTTCAATGTCTTGCTCCTGCTTCTGCTCGATGTCCTCACCGTCCTCCTTTTTCCTCCTCCTCCGCCTCATCCTCATGATGTCCGCCGCCTCCACCTTCAGTATGAACTCTAGTTCGTGGCCTGTGGCTGCGAGCAGCTGTCTGGGCTGGCTCCCTGTTTGGGGGGCGCCTCCGAGTCTCCCTCCCCTCCTCCCCCCTTCCCCTTCCCTCCCGTCCCCTTCCCCTTCCCCCCTCCTGCTCTGCTCTCCCCCTTGCCTCCCTGCGTCCCCTATCTAATCACTACCCCTTCCATCCGTTGCTTCCCCCCCCCTCCTCCCGTCCCATCCCCCGATTTCTCCAGGTTGCGTGACAGCTGCGGGGGCGCCCGGGCGTTCGGGCAGGGCCCCGGCGCGTTCAGCAGTCGAGCGGCTTCGGGCCGCATGGCGCGACGGAAAGCTTTGCCCCACATCGGATGTCGCGCTCCCTCCCCAGCCTCCTCCCTATCTCATGGCCAGTGTCTGATTTTCGGAGGGGTGTACTTGAGGTTAGGGAGACCGCGTTTCGAGGACGCTTGCCTTGGACAAACTATTGGATACGCGGGAACCGCCTCCCCCCCCCTCAGAAAAAAATTGGCGGGCTCTGAAAACCCGGGGGCCCGGGGGGATGCCCGGACGTCGGCCTCCCGAACCGCCCCCGCCCCCTGCCCCCAAGGGGAGGGTGGAGTTTCGACCCCCCTTCTCCCTGTGCAAGGGGGGTGAGGGGGTTCGAGTCGGGGGTGGGACCGTGTGTGTTTGAATGAGAGAGAGAGAGAGAGATCATACTTGAAGGTATTGTATCGGTGTATGTATAGGTGTGTTTGTATAGGTGTATGTGTGTATGTGTATGTTCCTGTGTATGTGTATGTGCATATGTGTATGTGCATGCCAATGCGAAAACGGGTGTGTGTGTGCATATGTCTAAGAGTATGGGTACCGGAGTAATGTGTATATGTCTAGATGTGCATGCGCATATCCGTGCGTATGTGTATGCGTATGTGCGTATGTGTACATGTATCGTTCGGACATGGTTCCGAACTGTGTGTGTGCCCATGTCTGCGCTTGTGTGCGACTCCCCGGGTTTCTGTATAAAGGTGTCTACATGCGCGTGCATATATGTGTCTCTGTGTATGCGAATGTGTGTGTGGTCTCTGTGCGTCTGTGAGTTGCCAGGGATTTCTTGAGCCCCTGGTGGCAATATAGGGGGGGCACCTTCGGGTGTCCTGAGGCCTCCTGGGAGGCTGGTTGGGGCCTCTGGGAGACGATGTTGATGATGATGATGTTGATGATGACGATGATGATGGTGATGAGGTTGATGTCGACGGTAATGATGATGATGATGTTTATGGATGATGGTGACGATGATGACGTTGATGGTGATGTTGATCGTGATGGTGACGATGATGAGGATGATGTTGATGGGATGATGATTGTTAGAACGATGGTGATGATGATGCTGATGAGGGTGTGGTGATGGTGATTATGATGATTGTGATGATAATGGCGATGACGATGATGATGACAATGATGATGATGGTGGTGGTGAAGATGATGATAGAGGTTGTGGTTGATGCTGGGGATGCTTGCGAGGAAAGAGAGGCTGGGGCGGAAAAGGAGGGGGCGAGACGGGACGAGGTAAAGGGAGGGAAAAGGTAGGCAGGGATGGATTGACGGAAGAGGGGGCGCAGGAGAAAGGATGGATGAATTCGCACCGCCACCCCGTCGTCACGCTTGGCCGACGCGACGTTGGGAAATGCTGGCCTCCCTCCTCCCGCAGACGCTCTCCTCACTCCTCCTTCCTCCCCCTGCCTTATTGCTCTTCCTCCCCTCGGGACTCCCTCGATCTTCCTTGACCCGCGGGGAAGGCGTGGGCCGCCTGGCGAGCGGGGCGGGGGGGGGGGCCAGCATCCACGTCGAGGAGGAGGATGATGGAGGAGGAGGAGGTGGAAGAGGGTGGTGGAGGAGGGAGGGGGGAAGGGAAGGGGGGCTCAAGGATAGTCGAGGGGGAAGGATCGAGGATCGAGGATCGAGGATCGAGGAGGAGAGTGTTTCGAGGCGCCCGGGTTGTGGACCAGAGGCTTCCTACAGATTTCTTATGTTTCATTGGAAGGTCTTTTGTGGTCTTTTGAAGGTATCCTTGCATCTTTTGGGGCCTCCTGGATACCTCTCGAGGTTCTCTGGTGGTCTACTGTGCGCCACTCGGTGGTCAGAAGGCCATCCCGGGACCATCCTGGGAGGGAGGGCCACAAAGACCCCGTCGAGTTCTCCTTCTTAGGTTACTCCTGCAACTTCTTGTGTACATACAGAGCCCCATCCTGGGTGCTCGGGAGGGGCCGTCCTGGAGCAAAAGAACCAATTAAACGAGTGTAATTTGTATGGGGGGGATTGGTTTGCCTCGGGTGCAGGTTGGACTACCTCCCCGTCATGTTCCTCTTCCCTCTTCTGCTCACGTTCGTCCTTATCCTCCCCGTTCTCCTGC